AGTCATTTGTCATGCCAATCACACTCTTTTTCGCACTAAGACGGATGACAAGTTGCCGGATTACCGACACCACTCATGACTCACTGTTTTCTCAATTACCAGATATTGACCAGGGTTTTACCTTGACTTACAAAACTGGGGGTCCAGGGTTCCCTTAATAATTAATGCTTAGGGTCCTTGCAGAAAATATGAGGTCCTGTAAAGTAATGAAATGGTCTAGTGTACTGTATATTTTGATAATAACTTAAGTGCCTGGAATGGATCAATGATCATGTGGACAGTGGTCATGATTGATGAATGGAATGACAGACGCCCATAGCTGCTCTTGATGCACTGTAGGCACAATGAATATTATTGTGTGTCCCTTGGGATGCAGTATATTCTTTTTATGTGTCCTATCTCAACATATGTGTGTACTGGATGCACATTTTTGTGCGTCTCATAGAATCCTGTATTGACAATGTCGGGGATACCCCTACTGTTTCCTCCACCCGACCAACATTTCTTCATGGGTGCGTCCGGCACTCTCAGGGTTGGAGCTACAGTCCAGGGGACATGGTCAGATCACAACAGGGATCTTCACATCAACTGTCATGAAATGTTGGTGATTTACCACGCACTCAGCGCATGGACAAACAAGTTGTGTCACTCATTTGTACTGGCTGCTTCCGATAAACAATGTTTGTTGATGGAGACTATACGTTTATTCATCTTGGTGGACTCGATCGATTGCAGATGGTTTGTCCCAGAAGAACAAAGTGGTATCGACTGAGTGGTCTCTACATCCCAAAGTCTTCAAGTGGATAACGACGACTTGGGACACTCAACATCTCGTCTTGTTTGTAACAAATCTAACAACAAGCTCTCTGTCAATGTCGGTCCAGTACCAGACCTGCAGGCTCTATATGTGCATGCTCTACAAAGGATGTTTGCTTGTGCATTTCCTCCATGGCTGCTAGTATACCGAGTCCTTAGAAAATTGTAGGACTCGGACTGTGGAGTCTTCCTCACAGTGTTCGAAATAATTTTAGAACCAAAAAAGACAGTCGGGTCGGTGACCCATAAGAGTTGCCTGACCATCTTCTAGTTCCCTGCCCGCTTTCAGACATAATAAATATTGAAAAATCACCAAAACTAAGAGACAAATTACATCTTGATTCAGTTGAAATAAAGCAAACAATTACTTGTGAATTGAAGGAGTTGAAAAATTTAATATGTAAGTAGTCTTAAATGGATCTGCCAGACAGTCTGGCAGGTAGAGGATAATATCATGCAACCTGACAGAAAAGATACCACCCAAGGGCAGGCGGGCAGGCAGTTATTTCGGACACTACTTCCTAATAGCTTCAGCATGGCCAAACAGGATATGGTTTCCCAGGTTGTTCCAAATCCTTATGGTAGATCCACTTCCACTACCAGGAACACCTTTAGAATACAGTACCACAACTTCTTGTGAGGACAATGTCTGCTGTTTTCTCGAAGACAAGCAACCAGTTTTTGTGAGAATCTGTCGGACGCGAACTCGCGATTTTCGGATTGTTAGCCTGACAGCTAACCGACTGAGCTACGTCCACACTGTGAAACAAAATGCAAATTTACCTAGTCATGCCTACGATGTTACGGAACTGAACGAAAATGGTGGAAAAGGTGACGGACACTTACGAAGGTTACGGGTAGGCATGTTGTCTCGTGACTTTAGGCTAAAGACACTTACGAATGATCCTGATGCCATTTGGCACACGCGTCCCATTCCGTAATCTACAAGATACCGAGTGGCGAGAAATGATTCGATATGGCGCGAACTGTAAACGGCTCCCGGCGTCAAGACGTCGAACTCTCGAGTACGCATGAATGACATGGTATTTAATAATTTGTCAGGTGGATTTTGTGACAGAAACGTGTGGTAGGGACCACCGTAAGGATGATGTGGATAATAGTAACAGAGGGAGGCATGAGCATGAGCATGAGCATGCCTAGTGACGACACAACGGTGAGTTCGCTTTTGAATCAGTACTGAAAAAATGTAGCCGGTGAAAGTGGCTTGTGTGAATGTTCCTGGACAGCTTCCAGTAGCCAAAGTATTCGACATTAAACCATTTCATCCTTTTTACTCGACGTTTTTGTGTGAAGAAAATTTGGAGCCGCTATAGAATTTATAATAGCCACTAAACGGGTAAATCTACCTAACCCTAATGATAGTAAAGGGGGTCCAAGGGCTAGGGATAGAGTTCTGGTAATCTAAAAGCCACTAAACGGGTACCTAAACCTAATGATCGAAAAGGGGTGATTGATCGTGAAGGGGATCCAAGGGCTGAGGATAGAGTTCGGGGTAACCTACCCTAACACTGGCGACATTTGGATGTGTACAGCGCCAATATATTATCCCTAATAAACTGCATTCTTGTGCATACTAATAAAAATCAATGAACAGAAAAAATAATATATGTATATTAGTTCCCATTTATGACCATTTTAGCCGCTTGAATTACGAGAAAAACAAAATAAAAGATATATAAAAAATAAAAGTGCTTTCGTAAACTAGCGCTTGCTATAAAATGCACCGCCGCAGGCTATATTTAGTTAACAAATATTCAAAACTCTCAACACCGCTGGGCGTATTCAGTGACATTGAGTGTGGAGATGATAGATCACTGGGAGGAGCTTATGCACACTCCATGACCCCTGACGTCATAGGGCATTGTTTTGCCGGTGTGACTTGCAACAAAATACTACACATTACGTCATAGGGTATTGTCACATGTTTGAAAAGTTTGTGGTACTGTATTCTAAAGGTAGGCCCACTACCACTATGCCCCGATCAGATGTATTCCATGTCAGCTTGCATAATCTTCACCTACAAGCCTGGAAACTCTCACAGTGAAGATGCAGGCTTCTGGTTTCTCCATGTCTGCCTCAGATGCTGTGGCATGGTCTTCATCCTCCACAATCTGAGACAACTGATGACACAAGTTCAGTTAGTGGCAGAGAAGACTGGGAGTGGAACACATGGATGTAACTGTCCCCATGGTGGCAGATTCTTGCTCCATCACCGACAGGAGAAGGAATTTTTACATGGAATGAATGACGGATACTGATCAGCTCCAGCTTCGGTCCTTGAACATTCGGCACTCACCCTGACATTAACTGACTCTTGCAGGCATTTCAGATGGAAGATATGTTTATACATGTGTCTTGTGCGAGCACTGAAATATTATCTCAACGCTACACAAGGACATCGTCGACACATGAAACAACTTTTCATCTCCTTCAAGCCTACTACTAATATCACCCAGACTATTGTTGCAGGCTGGTTGAAAACACCATCTCGGAAAGCTACTGTCAAGCAGAACTCTCTCCGCCTATCTGGTGTGACATGAGATCTGCGCCTTATCATTATCATGGAATTTCGTCTCTGCTGAACAAGACATTGCTAGCTGTCATTGGGGGTCCTAAAATATGTTTACGAATTTCTATCTGCATGAGAGATACCGGCATCTACAGATTCTATTCTTTCTGGGCTGCCAGGACCATAGTTTCCCAGTAGAATTCCAGTGAATACAACCAAATGGGCATTTTGATCATTATGTCGGTCTAGGGTGGCTCAGATCATAAGGTTACCAGCAGGCTTCACCCCAGAATATCTGGATGTGTTCTATGGTTCAAGAGAAGTGACAACAGCATAAGAGGTCATCAGCATAGGATGTGACATGAACGCAACCGAAATATAGAAGTGACATCATGTAACCAGATGTGATGTCATTGGAACCAGAAGAGATCATCTATAGAAACAGAATTAATATCAACACAACCAGAAATGACGTCACAAGACCCAGAGGCGACATCATAGACCGGAATAGATGGGAATGCCAATATGGCAGTATTTACAGTGCAGGTATCAAGGTATTGGTGATTTTCTTATCGTTTCTATGTGTTCAAGTTTCAATTACTGTCAGCAATCCTGGAGTACTATATGCTAGATCCCACCAAATCCTCATTGGTATTCTGGCTATGATGTAATAGAAGTAAGGTATTCAAAGGAAATATCAAACAATAGTCATCATTGTGTATAATTCAAAGAATACTACCTCTATTACATGAACAAGTAATCCCATCCACCTCCCCGATATAGGGATGTACTGATTGGAAAGAAGTGACGTTTTTCCTGTCCATGCATGTTCTGTGGCATTGGGCATGACATGCGGTATTCCTAATAACTGATTAGGATATGATGTCATTTACTGGGCTGGAAATGATCACTGATCCCATTTTAGTATCACACTGGAATGTGTGCTAGCATGTAATGCTTTCTGGTACCTTCTAGAAATGGTGAAGAGAGACTAGTCACTGGGGGCTACGTATGGGCTGTAGGGTGAGTGATTTAACTGTACAGCCCAGACTTGGCCCCCAGTGACTATTTCCTGTTCTGGCAAATGAAATCTGTCCTATGTTGAAGACGCTTCCAGGATGACGAGGACATAAGGCTGCCACAGAGGTGGGGTTAGAGGGCTGATCTGTGGATTTCTATAAAAGTGGTATTAAAAGCTTGAAGGACAAATGGAATAAGTGTATTGAGGTGAATGGAGATTATATTGAAAAATAAAAGTGCAAAATATATTCTGCGACTTGGTCTTATATTGAAGTTGCAAAACTTATTGAACGCCCCTCGTATCTCATACATGCATCCCCTGGGGTTTGGGGTGGACTGGGTTGGACCTTCACTGTTGGCATGTAACATGTTTTTCAGTGTCCTGTCGGAAGTGAAAGTCTATATTGTCTGGGTGAGCAGCGTGCTGATCTGGTGAGACGACTTTCTCTTTGGACAGGACACTAAAAATCATGCTTTTATATATTAGCTCTATGAACTTACTCAGCATTCACCTGTTGAAGGAGCAAGAAGTATCTCTAAAACTCCTGACAAAGAATAAAAGAAGTTGCAGTCCATAAAAAGTGTCATGTATTCAGTTTTCATATACCATATGAAGATCTTTTTCTTTTTTCAGAGATCGCATTCTGAACCCAAGAATGACAGTTTTCAAACAGAAATGGAGAAAACCTACAAAGAAAAGGAATTGTCTATTAATAGTGAAAAGACAACTAGAGTAGAAGAGATCACAAAAACAGTAACTGATGTAAAGAAAACAGTGACACAGATTTCTGAGTATAAAAGTTGTAAGAAAACTGAAGTGCATGGAGATATTGTATTGGAAGGACACATAGTTCCAGAGAAAAAGTTTAAGCATGATCCTGAAAGTTTAAAACAAAAACATCGACACAAATCCACATGTTCGAACAAGGAGAGCAGTAGCAGGGACAGTGTCTATAGTGTTCCTTTAAAGACTGTTATATCCGCCTGTGCCAAGAATGGCAAAGAGAATCTGGGTGATAAACATGTAGCAAATATTTTCACTGGTCTGTCAAATGTACTCCTTCCAAGCAGCAAGCCAAGGGGACTCACTGTTGGCCGACTGATGGACCCAAGGATGGAAACAAGTACAAGCCAAGGCAACAACACCTGTGACACTGCCAAAGTGACTATGAAGCGCAAGGAGTGTAATCCCACTGACTTTGCCCAGCCTCTTGAAAAGATCCTGAACAGTTCACTTCTACCTATAATACCTGACAACAAAACAACTTTGGACAAAGGTGAGCATGGCCTTTGTGGTTACAGAAATGCTTTACCACAATGCCTTGATACTGAACAAGATCGACTTACCTACCAACCTACCAAAACACCAGCCCACCAGAAATCCATCCACCCACCCATCCATCCAACCTAAGACTCATCCACTCAACGACCCATGCACCTACCCACCTTTGTCTTACTTTTCACATATTATGGTAAGAGGAGGAATTGTATTATAAACATCATTACCTGATAAGGTTCTGTTTGCGTTGTAGGTGTGGACCTATCATTTGACATTGACCTGGATGACATTGACCTTGATGAGCTGGAGAAGCAGGTATGTAGTGTGTCCTGCAGACAGGGCTGAACTCAACCTGTGCATTCTAACAACATGGATGAATATGTCTTCTAGAAACTGTAGAACGTTAGGATGTTGGATTGTGTGTGTATACACTGATCAGAACATTTCCCTTACAGCTAACACTCTCGCCAAGTGCTCAGCCAATGGAGCTCAGTGATGGTAGGTTACCTCTTCATTTCTTTTTACCCCCGACATATAATGACGGGGGAATATAGCCATCAGTATGTCCGTCTGTCCATCCGTCCGTCCGTTTGTCCGTCCGTCCGTCCGTCCATCTGTAATCATCGTTTGTCCGGAGCATATTTCCTTAACCGTACAACCTAGCTTCCCAAAACTTGGTACACTTACCAATCAGGCTCAGTAGTAGTGCCTTTTGCTATGTCGAGATTTTTAGAATTTTATATTTTTGTCGTTTCCATGGAAATATGATGAACTTAGGAAATTTGAGGGTAGTGCTCTTGTCCGGACCATATCTCCCGAACCATACAACTTAGCTTCTCAAAAGATTTTACACCTATCAAGCAGATTATGTAGTGGTGCCTTTGCTATTAACAGATTTTTTCTTTTTTTTTCTTTTTTCAATTTAAATTGAAAATTGATGAACTTAGGGTAATGTTCTCGTCTGGAGCATATCTTCTAAACCATGCGATAGAGATTCACCAAACTTTATGCACATATCAATCATGTTCACTAGTAGTGCAGTTTGTTATTTATAGATTTTAATCTTTTTAAGATTAAAAAGATTTCCTTGCCAATCTAAATACATTTGAAGGTACACACAGTTTACCGACATGCCACGTCGGGGGATATGTCATCTTCGGATGACTCTTGTTATAGAAAGGCAGGATTATGGAACTACCATTGACCTGACACTCTAGTTAGCAACCCAATGTAAATTGAGATGCTTGGAGGTTTTGTCAGAATTTGACTACTGCCACCAAACTTTGTTTTCAAACCAAGTGGTCCTGGGACAGCTCAGGGATATCATGCATCATGTCCAGTATGATTCCTACAAATACAAAACCTCTATTACACACAATTGCCAAGAATCCTATATTTAGGTTGTTATCACACTATAGAAATATTTCTAGATTTTCAACAGAAGTTCTCTTCACTGTCAGCTGTCCATAATAAGTTGTGCAAGTAATAGTATCTTGCTTCCCAAGCCTCATGTGCATATGTGAGGTGGGAAGCCAACACTTCTTTCTTGTTTGTGCTAGTGTCAATATCTAAAATAATTGAGTTGTCATATTTCATTTTTTTGTAGTTTTGACACTATATTCAACTGTATCTTCAGTTAACATATTCTAGTAAGACTAGATAATTATAATCCTGCCATACAACTGAAGAAGATTATTATGAATTTACATATAACCTATTAAACCTATTAAAGTACCTGTAGGTTTTGGGTCAAGATGGCATCTCTAAAAGTGTGGGTTCATTTTCACAAGAGGCCACAGGTGTGTGAGGAGAGCAAGTGTCTGTGTAGAATACATTTCCACAAGCTTGGACAGCTAGGGTATCGTACCATGGCCATGGTAGGCCAGTAGCCGTAGGTCCAACTGAAGAAAGCCTTCACGCTGTTGATGTAGAGCATGCTACATATGGGAGCTGTGCATGCTCGCTGGAGTTTGGAAGACTGGACTCAGAGCTGTTGTCCACCACGGACTCCACAGATATCACGCATGTTCAGCTATACAGGCTCGTTTGAGGTAAGAAACTGGAGCATGGAACAGTTTCCCACCACCTACATAACGACCATCACGGGCACTGCTCAAAGAATAAAAAACATCCCCAAGCATCCTGTTCGTGCTACAATCACCATCATGACCAGAATGATGATCACGACAGCCAGAGAACTGGTCAGGCACCGGGACAGTGTACCATATGGCAGTGCTCACCGGACTGCACGCTTACATCGAGAGAAGTTGTTTTTTTCACCCTGAGCTGTACGCTGATGGAACCAGATCATCACATTCCACATTGGATCCACCCAGACGGGGCACGACTACCTACCCAGGCACGGCTAGGACGCAGATCAGAGAGCTGAAGAGAACTAAGATGACTCATCTCAACAGGACTTATCTGATTCTTCTCAAACAACTCACTATGAACTGGAACACACCATTTTTCGAGGTTAATAGAAGAAATTTAGCATCTCATATGGGGTCTCAAGCTGAATGCAGGGCTACTTATGCCACAGAAGTTGGAACAGGCAGGTGGCTATGAGCCTTTTTAAATCTCAACACATAAGCATTTCACTCTACCACGGTCAACCAGGTTAGCAACGCCATCAAGAATTTAAGAGAGATGAAAAGTTAGTACTTCTCTTTTTGAACCGTTGGACATACATAACTCTTGATTTACCTCTACCCGACCCTCCCTGCGCGGAAGAAAACATCTGCTGACTAGTCAAGTCTCCTATCTGAAGTTGTTGTTGCTGATGCCTGAAGTCAAGGTTTTTGGTTTTGAGCAACCAACACATTACAAATATTGGATCTTAATTGACTGGTTTGTGTTGGTTATGCATTATATCATCTCACCACTAGAGGAATATTTTGCAGGGATTCCGGGAGAGATGCTGACTACCATCCTTACTGACCAGCTCGGTCTGACACACAGTCTTCCAGAGAGCAGAGTTACTCACCACCCAGATGTGGTTCTGTAACAAATTCATTTGGTCAGAGAGACAATATTTTCCTGCCCAAGCCCGTACTAAGGCAGTATTGGAACTAACTAGGAGGGGTGTTATTGCCCAATCTGTCACAGCGCCTCATTTATTCATTTTAAGGCCAAACTCAACACTCTTAATCCAATGACAAGCAAATTGATTATGTTCTGATGAAATGAAGCCGTATACTGCAAGAATATTCCGACTAATGATTACCATGCTTTCAAGTCATATAAGGTTATTATATCCACTACTCAGTGATACAAGACTGCTGATTGGTTGTTATGCCAAAACAAGATATGCGCTTGTTCATAGATCTGAAGTTTTCTCAACAATTCCAGATGGAATAAGTACAAAAAATTGCACTTCTTTCAATGGTCACTGTTTCTAGTGGCTCTTCACTTGTATTACAGCTCCATTCATCAGATTTGATCACACCCATCTAGTTTATTTTTGTTTTATGCAAAACACAACTTTCCTGATCCAACTACTATCTCATCTTGGTTCATTGTATATCCCGCCAAATCAGAGATCAAGCAAGTACAAGACAATCCTTATGTCAGCGCCAGATTCCAGTTTCACAGCTCATTTGGTGGACCTTCCAGGAAACAGAAGGGCATTCCACTTGTATTTCCAGCAATTGAGAAGTATCGTGACAGTGAAGTGAATTCATTTGCGGTAAAAATGGAATACTTTTTTTACCTCACACATCAATAATGAATAGTGTCTTGTCATTCATCAAATATTTGTGAATGAAACCTTAACAGAGTGATAGTTAGCCCAATGATATACTCCTTGGTTAATCCCATGTGATTGTTTATGGGGTTTCAGCATACTGTAAACATAATATTGCTAGCTTGATTTGTGTTGAGATAACTGGATAATCAAACCACTGGTCTTCACATTCTGATGCAGTTTCTGTAAATGATCCACATCTCAGACCAGGTCTGACAATGATGCTGTCCATTTCTCTTTCAACCCCTATTTCCTGTTGCCAGTAACCATCTTCAACAAATCGGACATGCTTACAAAATTCCAACCATTGCTTGGCACCGATTGCAGACGATGGTTCTCCACATGCAGCTCGAATCAATGTTTTTGTGAACTGCAAATTTTGTTTGTCAATAAATCCTTCACATTAGCCTAAATCAAGTCAATTGGGTTCAAAACTGCATGGTAAGACACAGAACAGCATGTTAGGAAGCATCATATAGTTTCTTGCACAATTTTTTATGGATGGTTGTCAGTGAAGATGATTTCTGTTGAAAGTCTGAAGATTTCTATAGTGTGAAGACAGTGTGATGACAGCCGAAATACAGGATTTCTTGCTATGATATAATAGAGGTAGTATTCTTAGAAGTATTAACAATGATAACTATTGTTTTGTTATCTCGTTTATGTATTTTAATCAGTCGTTCAACCAAACTTGGGACACTCAAACTTGGTACTTGGCCTTGGGGCAGAATTGTGATCTGAAAAGGTTGTGAGTGACTTAAATATAAGGTCAAGATCACAGTGAAGGTCATGTGTACAGAATGTTTGACATTTCAACTATTGTACAGGTCTTGTACATGTAATGACAATCATAGGATTTGAATACAAATGCATGGCAAGTGATGACCATCTTATGATAACAGTAGTACGTCAGTTATCAAGTGTCCTGCCAAGAGAGGCATTGACGAAGATCCTTTTGAATAGCTGCTGCATTGCTTTATAAAACAGTTCTGACCGAAAATATAGGATGTAAGTGTTAGTCCCCATGTTTCCAACAAGAAATAATCAGTGTGTTTTGCTAAGAATGAGGGACAAAGTATTTTAACATAAGTGCATGTAACTTTGTTTAAGGTAGTAAGTTATAGGCTTGGGACTTTCTCTTTTAAAGTTTGTAATGCATTGAGCATTGGTTTCTTATTTATATTTCTCAAACAGCAACAGTATATTTAGACCTGAAAACCCGTAAAGAACTGGTTTAGAATAGGTCTTCAGCAACTGAGGCGAATATGATTGTCGTAAGAGACGACTAACAGGATCAAGTGGTCAGGCTCATGACTTGGTTGATACAAGTCATCACACACAAATTGTGTGGATCGATGCTCATGAAATCAGTCACTGGATTGTCTGGTCCAGACTCTATTATTTACAAACCACCATCATACAGATGGAATAAAACAAACAAACAAAATTAGACTGGATATGCATTAGGTTTTCATTATGTAAGCTCACGGCAAGACATCGTTCTCTGGGTCAGGTTGTAGAAGGGGGCGGTCGGGTAGCTTAGTGGTTAAAGCATTTGCTCGTCACGCTGAAGACCCGGGTTCAATTCCCGACATGGGTACAATGTGTGAAGCCCATTTCTGGTGTCCCCCGCCCTGACATTGCTGGAATATTGCTAAAAGCGGCGTAAATACATACTCACTCACTCACTCAGGTTGTAGTAGACATGCCCCCAACCCAGGGGTGATGGAATCACAATGAAAATGTGTGATAATGTGTAATTTTTTCTGGAAATAGAATTAACAGTTTCTGCTTTTGTTCTTACAAGTTCTTGTAAACATTTGTAGTTTAGGAATATTTCAAGGTTCCGTAATCTGAGTAAGGTCATAGAACAATAATAGCACAGTTGTGAGGTCAAGTGAGCTTAAGCTTTAGTTTGTCTTTTGATCAGATATAGCATTTGTCATAAAAGTATGGAGTACAAAGTGATGAGTAATATGTACAACATGCAAATTGTAACGTGACAATAAGTTCATGTGATGATCATCATTACAATAGTTACCGTATATCGCTGTGTATAAAGCAACCCCACGTATGAGATGACCCCCATGTACCTGCCTTCAAAATCGACCCAAAATCCTATACCCCGTTTATAAAGCAAAACAACTGGAAAAAAACTTGAGAACTTCGACTCCGTGTAGAAGATGACCCTTCTTAACCTCCCTCATTCTAGGTACTAAAAAATCACCTTATACACAGCGATATACAGTATTGGATATAACAAGTACTTTAAGTCCATCATCTTTCTCTGTTATGGTTTTCTCCATTAAACTCCACTTTTTAGTGAAAGTAAGTATTATTATGTCTTTTAATATATTGCTATATGATTTAAACCAAGGTTTTATTCCTTAAATATTTGTTGTGGTTTTTTTTGCTAATAATAAATATGTATTAATAAAAGGTCCGAAAATAGCATCTATAAAATCCTTAAATTCATCCAAGAAATTCTAAATTTATACATGAGCAATGTTTTCATTGTCTGAACGTCAAAACTAACACAGGTTGTTGTCACCCAAATTCATATTTTACAATTCTCATTTTTGTTAATATTTTTTTTGTCTCTCCTTACATTAAAATACTAGATTCTGATTGGTTCATGAGCAGGTAATTATTTATGTAGCCCGCTCATGTTGCCCACTCATGTATTTCTTGGAGAAATCAATCGGAACACACCTTAGGTAACTTGCTTATCATGCACAAGTATTGTTGAGCTGATGTTTATCCAAATGCACTGGGTAAAGTAACTCAGTTTGTTCTCGTTGTCTGCACGCTGTCAAGCAGGCTGAATCAAAGCTTTTTACTCGGTGTAACTTTGGACATATATTCCTCGTCTGTATGAATTAAATAATGAAGATAAATTCGTTGTCAACCGATCCCTGAGGGCAAATGGTGTGATGTACCCTGTGTGTGAGCCTATGGCTCAGGGTACACAGGCTTACACACAGGGTCCATCACACCATATACCATGCCAGATCTGTTCAAATTTAAATCTAAATTGTAATAGTTTTGTATCTTTAGTAGATTTTCTATTTTATACATATAAATTCAGGTTGCCAGTTAATTTGATTCTTAAATTCCCCTTTCCATTTTTCTCAAATTTCTGGAAAATTAGACGATCTAATAGAGTTATCATAAAATATCATTAAGCCTTTGCTTGTCATTAAGCCTTTGCTTATCATTAAGCCTTTGCTTGTCTTAAGTAAACCATGCCATGGTCGAGAAATGCTTTATTGCCTTGTGTTAAAATGTTTAGCATTATGCACAAAAGTTTAAGTAGTCAAGTCATTTATCATAGTATACCAACATCTTTCGTTAACTTTTAACCTATTTGACATCTCATTTGAAACACCATGGCATATGAAGCTGACGTTTTGTTCATAGTGTATATGATCACAGCTATGGTATCTCTAGAAACTGCTCACAGCATCTGGTTATGATTAGCTGAGTAGATGGTAGTAATATTCTTTCAAGAAAACATTCCTTCCATGGTCAAATTTATAGCGATATGTGATGGAAGCACTGACTAGCTGTATTGTTCTGTAATAAAACAGTTTGCATTTTCTCAGATGAGCTGAAGCAAGCTGTGTGGGATGGAGACTATGACCTTGTGAAGAGAGCCTTTGCTGCCCGCAAACTTTATGACATTGAGCAGGCTGATGATACTGGAACTACATTGCTTATGCATGCCATCCTCAGAAGTAAGTCTACATACCCTGCCCTCTAATAACTCAAGTATTGTAATATTTAGTTGTTGTTGCACTTGAGAAAAAATAGGATGTCACCATTCACTGACAGACCCGAGACTAAAGTGTTCATGTCACCAACACCACTCCTAGACCCCTGTCTGTTATATCTACAACTGCTTGGTCGCTGGGGCTGTTTTGTTGTGGTGTGGTTAGTCACACCCACCAAGACCTTCATGAGAAGGTTAATATTTAGTAAGGCTAAAAAAAAATATATTCTTGGTTCTCAGGCACCGCCGCATCATCATAAAGTCTGCCGTACGTTTTGTTTTTATTTCCATTTTCAAAACCAACAAAAATTCTTAAATGTTCCGCTTCTCACACGACCTCAACTGTGAAATGCTACAATACTTAAAAACAATGCGATCCACTATAACGTGCAGTTACTTCCCTTTTCATGCGCACTGCTTTACTGCGCATCAAATGTGTTATGGTCATGGCGCCAATAGGAGTTTGTGTGCTTGCTTTGCTGTTTGCAAATTTGGTCAATGAAAACATTAAATTTGCAATACAACATCACTAGACATGATGATGGTATTCAAATACAAATTTAATGGTATTTGTGTACTGTATGAGGGAAACAATTATTAGAGAGAGATTATTTGTCTCATAAAATAAGCGGGAAATCAAAGCTAATTTATATACCCCGGCTATAAAGCGAATTGGAATATAGCACATCACTAGTGCATACAAAATCTCTACATTTGCAATAAAAATGTGTTTGTCTTCCACAGAAAAAAAAAAATTACATCGTAGCCCTTCAGCGAATTCAGGGAAATGGAACAGATTATATCAATTAAACTTGGTCAATACAAATTTGAAATTTGAGATAACCATAAGCGTAGCACTTTGGTTCAGCTGATCGCCATTGCCGGAAATGTTTTCGAATGGAAGAATTTGACCTATCACCGTCCATGCGCCCACGATTTCAAAAACTTAATGTTGACATATAATAGTCAAACTACAACAAGTATGACTTTCAGCGATTCAATGTATGGCATTTATGATATATATATCCATTCTCTATTCACTAAAGTTCGTTTCAAGGCGTCAATAGCGGTAATATGACAGTGGTTGCTGTAAATAACGGTGAGTTGTGCAATCTTCCGATCACTTCACATACAATTTTGCCTAAATGAATTGAAACAATATTGAATGAAATGTTGAATAAAATTATTAAATAGATTACCAACATAAGTCCAGATATATTATGAACTCTTTCTACAACCAGACAGTGTAATTACATGATTAATTTGAGTATTTCAGTACGGATTTGTCGACATGGTATTTCCGTTGTTCCGTGCCCACAGTAATGTCTATGTGTTACACATACCTTGAAAGCCTCCTAAATCTAGCTGTGAAAAACTTGCCTTATACACAGCGATATACGGACTTGGATTCTTACTAGTGTGTACACATCCAAAAAAAGAAGAAAAAGGGCCACCCGCCCGCACGATATTTTCAAAAGCTATTGCCTGAGAACCAATTTTATTTATTTTTTCAGCCTAAACTAAATTTTTGAAATTATCCTGTCTCTCACTGATTTCTTCTTCTTCTTTCGATCCTGTGTGGAAACATGATTGAACCAAGTTTCCTGCTTTTAAAACAAAGACATTCATTCGAACACACCCAAGTATCTCTATGGTTATAACCAACAACTGGGTCAGTTACATGCTCCTGTGCATGGTAACCTTCCACGAGCTCACCATGTGCGTCTCTCTGCTGACTCATTCTCTTTCTCACTGTGTGAGGCCGTGTTTGACAACCAAGAGAATACAATAAATCTTGAAATTAAAAGTACATAAATTAAACTTCACATTTATGTCTCCAAAATGACTATCAACAATAAGACAGCCTCACTGCACACTTTGGATAGCAGAAATACCAACTTGAATATAAACACAAACAACTATTTATCCCACATCACAGTTTATTGAGCAGCATTGGGCGAATTAATATTGAGTCACATTTTTTGCTAGGGGTCAGCGGTCGTGTTAATTTGGAGACACATTGATTTCAAGATTTACAGTTTATTGTTTGTGTTTGGATTTTTTGCCTGTGGAGACTTCCTTAGCAATGGGCAAAAATACAAACAAAGGCCGCCGTGTCCCAAATGTGAACACACATATTCTACATCGGATCCCTACAGTCTGTTGTGACTGCCGAGGTAAGTGGACGCTGGACTCAAAGGACTCTGGATTCTATGAAGTCATCTAAGAAATCTGTAGCTGCATCAGCACCTTGTTCAGAAGAGCCTATCCTATCGATTACTGACGACACTGTCTCAGCTGGTTTCCATGTGGACGACTTCTCCAACCCTGACCTCTAGTCCGCTCCTCAGTCTCCACCCCAGGATGATATTCACCGATCCTAAGACTACTCCACTGTCAAGCTCATCGAATGCTCCCATTAACACTTCCATTGAGACTTTGTTTAAGATCCCGACATGGATCCAGCACATTCTGCTGAGTGTAGCGTAGCCATCCACAGTTTGTGCCGGTTCAGCATGACCTTCACGATCTTATCTCCACCCATTCTACTCCCCTTCATGGTCGCTGAGATCAAAGAATGATCTGTCTCCTTTACTGAAACCAAGGACTCTGGAGAATCTTCTCAAGGGTGAGACACTACAGAGAAGTGACTCCCATCCACTACAGCACAACTGGGTACTTCCGCCTCAAGACGTTCCCGTTACAGACATGCCCATTGGTGGAAGACTGGGACTGACAATTGGATCACTCTTGCAGACCCCTTTGTGACAAAGTTACTACAGCAAGGTTATCGTCTAGCTCTGATCTCAACAACTATGTTCCGGACGCTACAGAGACAGCCAGCTAGCAACTATTAGCGACACTAGAGGAACATTACTTATAAAAAATGCGATAGAATCTATGCCCACTTCCCTCGACCCCTTGGTTTTATTCACCTATCTTCCTTGTCCCAAAAAAGGACAGTCTGAAGCTGTGGTTCATCTTCAATATGAATATTTCAACAGGATGTATTTGGATGTTCCGTTTCACTTTCGCATGACGTAGATTTTATGGTCAGCTGCGATCTCCAGGATGCTTATCTGCACGTTCCCATCCATTGTGAGCACCGCCATTTCCTTGGTTCATTTTCCAAGGCCACCACTACCAAGATTGCTGTTTGGAATTTCTTCGGCCATGTGGCTGTTTACCAACCTTACCCGGCTCATCATAAAATTCCCACATCTTCGCGGGATCATGTTAGATTCATCTCCCGACAACTGCATTCAAGTTCACATAGACGCTGATATTCTTTGTCAACAGCTCAACTTCACGCATTGTCTTCTGCAGCATCAGGACTGTCTTCAACACTCAGCATGGCATGATGTTCGTCCCATGCGATCGGTGGGTAAAGATTGAACAGTTCCTTGGTCCCCTGACTTCAGCGCAAGCTCCCACTTTACGAGGTCAACTGGATGTGCAACCACTTCAATGCTTTCTCATGCCCTTTATCAGGATTGATGATTGGCAAATGCTGATTGCCCTACCGCTCCATCTCCAAAGGTAGTTCGTTGAATTAAACGTTTGCGGTGGGGTCTCTTCAAGAACATTTGTCCCATCTCTTCATCTGTTTTGTCAACTCATCAACAGTGGGTTTGGGAGTACACTTTCGCGATCCACAAGTGGCAGGGCGGTGGTCTGATGAAGATCCTTGCCATCCATATCTGCCTACCATGTCATTCTAGCAGTATCGTTTTGGTCAGAGCTCCTACGCTCCTCTCACCAAATGGTCCAGGAAGACAACACTGCGGCTGTGTAGTACATCAACAGAATGGGATCCACGAAGTGGATGTCCCTCCTCTTGCTCACTCTCGAGTTCTTCCAGCTGATCGACTTACTCAACATCCCAGTCTGGGCTGGTCATATTGCAAAGGTCACCAACGTCACACCCTGTCCCTACCCGAAAGACACCGCCAACAGAGTGGTCTCTCCACCCGATGATGTTCCTCTGTATCTGCTAACTTTATTGGCCCCCAGAAGTAGACCTTTTTGCCAGAAGCTTAAACGCTCAGCTATCCTGCTGCGTGTCACCCATCCCTGATCCTCTTGCTTGGGATCACAATGCTTTATCGTTGCTGTGGGAGGGCCTCAATATGTACGATAGGCGTTCTTCCGCTGGTCCAACAGAAGACACCAGTTACCTATCTCTGACTTTGGTCGCACCCTATTGGCCAACACGCAAATGGTTCCCCACTTTGCTAAGGCTCGCCAGACAGACGTTTTCATTGTCTTACCCCTTCACGAAGACCTTCTATTTCAGCCACAATCTCGCTGAATCTATGCGTCTGGCGCATTTGCAGAAGTCCCTTATCGTTAAAACCTACTCCAAGTGGATCGCAAAGACTATCACTGCAGCTCATCATTCATCTACCACACGCATTTACGACCACAAGTGGACAGCATTTGAGAAATGTCGCTCTCGTGACATTTCCTTTCCTACCTTTTCTTCATCCCAACAGATCGCTGAGTACTTACACCAGCTGTAATCAACACGTAAGCTTAAGCTCTTCACTCTGGTCACCCACAGCAACGATTAACTCTGTTATTGCTACTACTGGTTCAAAGGTCTCCACTGTTGCGGAGCTCCAATTGCTCATCCATTCCTACAACTAGAGGACCAATCCTCGCGAATCCGCCCCACTTCATGTGACCTCAAAGCAGCTTGTGTTAGTGAGATACATGCTCTGGATGTCACCAGGGTCTAATTTGAGCGATCCGGAAGCAGAAGAGATTCCTAGGTCTTTGTTGGTATTTTCTTGCAGAGAATCAACTTCCCAGCCAACCTGATCTGTTATTTACAATTCCCCCACTCTCGTTGATCTTGGGATTGGAACACCAGGAAGATCACTTTCTCTGTCCAATACGAGCACTTTGTCTCTATTTTACCTATCTCGTTGTCGTAGAATATCACAAAAGAGACTCTTCATTGCACTATCAACTATATCCATCGAGGGGATTTCCCATACTACACTCTCTTTTTGGCTTCGATCCATGGCTCCCATTGAGGCCTTTGAGCATATACTTTTGCTGGGCTGCCTCCGCCTGCAACGACCAACCCGCACGAGACTCGGGCACTTGCTTCCACTATGGCCTAACACAGTAACTGCACCCTCTCCGCCATCATTGAAGGGTGATTTTGGAAGTCAGACACAGTTTTCGCCTCCCACTACCTTCACGATATCTCACTCAGGGATGTCAAGTTCGTCCCTTTGATTTTGGTGCAATAACTATCACAGCCCAGCAAATGCAGATAAAGACATCATTAAGCTTGATCCTGACCTCTTGCCTCCGAGTGTATATATAAGTGATAAATAATTTAACATTAACTTTGGGTTGTATGTTTTTTTATTGTTTGGGTTTTCCCAGACCGGAGGGTGGATTCACCCATATGTAGAGATTTTTTGGTCTTTAACTTTGAATCCGCCTTGTGGCCGTCTCTAAAGAGAGCGGTGTCTCAAACCTTTATTCCGCTCACCTCTGCCATATTTATTTGTGATGAAGGGTTATGGTTTCGAAGATCCATTTACGGATGTTGTCTATCGTTTCTCTTCTTGTCTTAGTTGGGTTCATGCATTCGAATGTGTTTATAACCTTGAAGCATTAAAAGAGGCACCGAACAGTTGTTCGTTCTATGAACGTTCGGTACATACTCCAGATCTCATGCTGTTTCAATCGATTAGAGTATTAAGATCATTAGCACTGGTTGATCATGTGTTTTTGCTGCTCACAAGTTCATGTCTTTCAGACACTAAATAGTGTTTTTTTTATGAACTATTCAAAATTTATTACACTGTCTAGATCCAGCTTCCTCATATATATATACCACATGGTTGTAGTCTTTACAGGCTAGGGTATCTGCGGCCCACCATTCAACCGTGGGAATAAATGCATAGTGTGAGATAGGATAAGTTTAAAAATTTGGAAATTTTACTATAAACTGTGTATTTATATACTTTTCCTATCTCATCCTATCCTACCCGACCATTCCCACATCTCAGTTCCTCTAGCCTGATAGCTCTGCAAAAGAGAATGAGTACCGTATTTTCTTGAGTATAGTGCGCACCCATGTATAATGCGCACCCCCCTCTAGCGGGTTCAATATTTTGGAAAAAAAGAAATTTGAATATTATGCGCAGAAATTTTTTACACCGTACCCTTTCAGCGAAGTCCGGCAAAGGAACGGGTGCTGAGAAACTTCATCAGTACAAATTCGAAATTTGAGATAAAAAATCACCAGACATGTTTATTTACCGTTTAAATAGAATTTATTGTTCTGCTAGGCATTGTTTTATATTTAGGGATTAAGATTACCTTGCGTATTTTCTCGTAAACTAAGCTGGAAACAGCAATCAGCTGTACACACGTTTTCTTGGAATCGACCGGTGATTCGGTCAAGACACACCCAATGATATAACTTTATAAGATTTTTAATGCAAGGATCGGCAACAATTGTATCTGAAACTATTTTATTTATCAGGAATAATATATTCCATTATTTTCTTAATTATATGCAACCTTTAATAAACATATTTAAAATAATAATAACCCTAAGCGAAGCAGCTGATCGCTATTCCCGGGTATTATTTTTTACATGGAACATGTCTGACCAGTCACCGTCAAGGCCTACGCGCACATGATCACGTGATCGCGAGAATTTCATGTTGACATAGAATCGTCAAACAAAAACAAATATGACTTTTAACGAGTCAAAGTATGTCATTTATGATATATGTATCCATTCTCTGTCAACTAAAGTTTGTTTCAAGGCGTCAATAGCGGTATTCTGACCGTGGTTGCTGTTAATAACGGTGAGTTGTGCGATCTTCCGATCGCTTCACACACGATTTCGCCGAAATTAATAAAAACAGTATCATCAGATTATAAGGAATTTTGAATAAAGTCAATGAAATAAGTTACAAACATAAGTCCAGATATACAAAGAACACTTTTTTATAGCCAGCCAGTGTAATTACATAATTATTTTGCGTACTTCAGTATGGATTTGTTGACATGGTATTCCCGGTGTTTCGTGCTCACGGTAATGTCTTTCCATGGGGGAAAAAAACATCCAAACTCATAATTCGTGTATAATGCGCACCCCCTTCTACACAGCTGTGTTTTTTCGAATAAAAGTGCGCACTATACTCAAGAAAATACGGTAGGTAGAGAGATGCACATGGAAGGTTACCGTGCACAGGCACACACAATTGACCCAGTTGTTGGTCGTTACCATAGAGATGCTTGGGTGTGTTCGGGTGAATATTTTTGTTTTAGAAGCTTGAAACATGGTTAAAGCATGTTTCCACATAGGATCAAAAGAAGAAGAAGAAGAAATCCACAGAGAGAGGATAAGTACCGTATATCGCTGTGTATAAGGCAAGTTTTTCGTACCTAAAATGAGGGGGTAAGAAGGGGGGTCGTCTTATACACGGAGTCGAAGATCTCACATTTTTTTCCACTGGCGATGTCAACCGGCGTCCGATAGCCAGCCCAGCATTTGACAATAAAACTTCGCATTTCGTCCTAAATAACTGTTCCAATAACTATTTCCATACATAAACATGATTTGTATCTCTTTTCATTGAATAAAGTTTAATAATTTCTGCAAATAAAGTTGAAATGACCCTCGCCTCGATGCAGATTGTCAAACCACCTGACACGGTAAAACTATCAACATCCGTGAGCAGAGAGCCGGAAGTACCGGTAAGCATTTGCATATTGCACATGTGACCTAACATGTGATAACCGGTGAAGCTGAAATCAATTCCCGCTGTTTTTACAGTTGTATTAACAAGTGTTGGAGACGGTGTGTACAAGTGATTGTGGAATAAACACGCTGAATGTGAAGCAAACATAAGCCTAGTTAGTTACAACATAGTTAATTGGCGATTAAATTACTCACCGTTGTCTCTTATATGTTATTACTTCATAAATGAATTTTATTTTACGGGCACCAATTTGGTGTCGTACCGTGTAAACACAAAATGGCGACGTGTGCTGGAGTAACACACACGACCTATCATTGTAGAAAAAAAACAACGCACGATAAACATATTTTTATTGCATATATAAGGTTTGTGTGCGAAATACGCATCAGTCGGAAAGCACATGTTAAATCTCCAAAGTAACTAACTAACTTGTGATGTCCGTGTGCGAAATACGCTACAGTCGGAAAGCGCATGTTAAATCTTCTATATCGGTCAGACTTGTGATGTGTTTCATTCCAGGTCGCCTTATACACGGAGTATAGGATTTTGGGTTGATTTTTAAGGCGTGTACAGGGGGGTCGTCTTATACGTGGGGTCGCCTTATACACAGCGATATACGGTATATAAATATACAATTTATACCAAAATTTCCAATTTTGATTAAGCACACCCATGTGGTCATTATATGGCAGTTACTTACCATTATGCTTTCTGTACACCCTTTCCCCAGATTTCGATGACATTGCGGAGGTGTTAGTGTGTAGCGGGGCCAAGATTAATGCTCAACAGAAAAATGGAAACACAGCCCTCATGATTGCCTCAGAACAGGTTTGTGCTTCAAATAATACATAATAATACTATCTACTAGTACATAAGAAGCCATGAGTAACAATCAGATCTTTACAGTGAGATGTTTTACTTCAATACGATGCTTCTCTGCATATAGTCCTGAGGTCACCTTCCTAGAAGGTAGCATCAGGTAAACCTGGGGTGAATTTTGACCACCAGATCTAATAGAAGGCTGCACAGATTCTTTAGTGTGTCAGCTTTCATAAAAACATTCTGCTTCCTTTTTTATCCACCTCAATTCTGGCATTTTAATTGATACAAGTGAAAACAAAAACAAAACACAAATATTCCTATAATGGTACTCACCCTTGCAGTTTGATAACACAGAGCTCTGAAACAATGGAATATATGAGATATCCACATCAATACTGCTATACTGTGGCATTGCCATACTTTCTACTTTTGGAATTACTGGTTTTTGTTCATTTTTGAGATACGGAAATCCAATATGCTGGATGGAATGTTTCGCTCACTCCTACAGAGAATCTGGAAGCGTATTTGTAACGACAGTCCTGTAATGTTTGAGAACACTTACTTAATGACATACGCCAAGTTGGCAGGCCTTTTTAATCGCCCATAAGCTTCACAATTGCCCACTTCACACTACAGCCACGCCCCCAGGTCTTGCATGAAGCTGTGACTTGACATCGCCCTCTGCCTTTGCCTTGGAAGTGAGAGCTTCTAGACTGATTTTGAATTTTGGGCTGTCATTACAACAGGTTTACCCTTCTAGAACTTGAGGAAAACTGGTGAATCCAGACAGCGGCCATTGTTCATTGTTTTAACACTGTACAACCACTGCTCCAAACAGCCAGTGCAACAGACAATACAGAACATCACCAAGAAACCTCAGAAATCTCCCCGTCAACAATTGCAACTAATTGTAATAAAAAAGTTCTTCATCCATATATCTTATCCTTACTAAGTGAAGGATAGCTCTAACTGGACAAAAGGGATGAGGGTGAGTAGATGATAGTCTCACTTCATACACTCTCTCCTTGAACTGAATAGTTTTGGACAAGTTCACTTTCACTCCAAATGAGTGGTCTGAGTATAACACAAAACTACCTCTTGAAAACTGCTTCGTGGTGGACTAACATTTTTCTGACTCCGAGAAAATTCATGTACATGCTGAATTCAAGCACTCCCGTGAGTTGTAGCAACATGACAGGTGTCTTCCTGTGTACAACACATTCCCTAGTTCTTGACATTTCCCTGAGAGTAGACTTGAACTATCTTGAACTGGGTGCTCCTACCCACACTTCAACATGCAATATGCACACAATATTCAAATAATGTTTGAGTGAAGAGGCTTGAATCGTCTTGGTAGGAAGGCGGCATAGAGCACAACATGCCACACTGTGACTGTAACAGGAGCCTACCCTATTAACTCCCACAACTTCAGATGTGCACTCAAATGAAACTTGTATGTTCTTTAGTATTCTCAGAGAAAGTTGATGCATGATATTCAGAGATTTCCTGGGTGAGCTCTTTTGCCTGTTTGATTTGCCACCTGCAATACAAAAACATCCTTGACTGCAGGGATATTGAATTTACAAAATCTATAAGAGCAGCATGGGGACTGACAATGAAACCGGTTACTGACTCATGTGCATAATTATTTATGATTCTTGGGATCATGGAGTCGTGAAATAGTGTCTGGAATGATGTTTTGCTTTTGTAATGAAGTTCCAATGCGACATAACCAAAACAAGCCACAGAGTGCTTCATTAAACAGCTTGTTTTCACATCACACTTTGTTAATCACAGATTTTGCTACAACAATGTCTAATGGGTTTATCCTTCCATCCACTGCCAGAACAACTACCATCATTTCCTTATAGTTAATATGCATTGTATCAGCTGCTGGCCAATCGGCTCGCCATGCTGAATAGTGCCACGCCCCACTTGTAAATGCCCCAGCTGCAGCTGTGCAAGCATCCACGTGAACTGGAACTGTTTCCATTCCATCATAATACACTGATCATTAAGTAAGGCAGGATAAGCTAGCCACCATGCTAAATCTCTGTTGCAATGATTAACTTTTCCACCCCTGAATGCTTTATCAGACACATATAGAAGTACAGTAAAGTACGGTTATAACGAACTCAAAGGGACTTCTAATTTTAGTTCGTTATAACTGTAGTTCGTTATAAGCATATATACAGCATAACTACAGCAAATAGTCGGGACCAAAAAGTAAGTTCGTTATATCCGTCAGTTCGTTATAACCGTGTTCGTTATAACCGTAGTTTACTGTATGCTAAAATATAAACCAGACAATCTGGGCCTAGGGGAGGTAACCAGGTGAGGCATTGAACTTATTTTCACTTTATAAAAACACCTTAATTCTCAGTATTAGTAAGCACAGCCTTCACATAAGCATATCAGATTTCTGTGTTGAATATAATTAAGGACTGTTTTCATTTTTGGTGCATTCATCAAAGGATAACAGTCACAAATTGTATAAAATCTTGTGGTTTAGTGGAGCGATTATATATACCAAAGCTCACTTGCAGTACCTTTGCTAGACATTAGTATCCATACAGACATCATTGAGAGGAGCGGCCTGTGCTTACCATCAACAGTATGCGCATCAAGAAGATCTAAAAATTGTGGTGTGGTGACTGGAACTGCTTTGAACTGTTTGTTAAATGGATTTATTGATAATTCATAACAGGGGCCCTCCTAATGTTTCACAGTCTGATTCATGGGAGTTCCAGACACTATTTTAGACATGTTTTAAAATGTTGCAAGTTGGTGCACTGATGTGGCGAGGTAGCATGAAATCCCTTCCGAGAAAGTACTTCCCAGATAATAAGTCTTTTCTGCAGCCAATCAGAAAATAGGACAACACACCAATTTTGTAATTATTTGGGGAAATCCGATGTGAAAAAAGCATGCCATGTTATCGTGTGGCTACTTTATACATTCTGTCATTTGTGAGTGCCATTGCTTCCAAACCCAAAAGTGTACTCTGTTCTATGGCAGTTTTCTTTGGCAGAGATAGAAATTCTGAATGAGAGACAGTGTTTTAGAAAAAATGACATCTGACTGACTCAAGAACCTACGCATCCTTCATTTTGGTCATGTGGTCAAGGTTTGCTCAGTGTTCACCTGAGACATCCTTCTGTAGAGGTGTCCGCAGATGTTCACATAGAGATAGAGGCATTATATTGTTGTAAAAGATCTGATTTTTAATAAGATTAACTTCTTGTATGTAATACTATAAATCTTGTTGTTTGTCATTGTTCCAAAATGAATTATATCTTTCAATCATGGTATGTCCACAACAACTTGTCTAGATGACAGGTGATCCAGCTACAGCAACCCAACTACTATCATATCCATCGAATAGTATATAATGAAATACAACCTGTGTGCTGCTTTCACCAATATTACAGGCATATTGCAGCAGCCTGTAAATAATCCTGCCTGGACTAGACAATCTAGCCATTGATATCATGAACAACCATCCAATCAAACGGGTTATGTTGACACACCATCAATCAATTCATCGAGCCGGATCACTTCTTTCAGTCACCTCCTATGACCAGCATTCGTTGCTGGTGACCATTTCTAACCTGGAATCACAACAGAGCCAGAAATGCTTGAAAAGAATATGCTAGCTTGGATCATTATTGAAATACGAAAGCCTGAAACTGAACAGTAAACGATTGTCTTTGAAATCAAATGTTGGAAATTCAAGGATAGTATGACAAACTTCATTTTAGAAAATAACTTGCCTATTTCATTGGAAGGGTCATCTTTATCGGAAAACGTTCCCAGATTACCAATTTGCTTCTCATTATGGATGTGTAACAAAATATACTCACTGACAAAAGAAACGTGAATACTCATATTCAAGAGATATGAGATTGGTTCGATGCACAAACGAACATACTGGTGTGTTATGTGAACCGACGCTCATGAAATATCACGTGACATCATAGACCCATGACTCGAGATGCACCATTTGTCTTGTGCAGGATTAGCATGTAAAGTTTGGAAATCAGGTGCAGCATACCATGATGAGAATAAAGACACTCTGTTGTAACTCTTGACTGATTGTTAGTGTTGTCATTAAGTGGGACACATTGGAAACATCTCTTCTTGACGTACATACTTCTCCATATGTTTCTATGGTTAGCGTTTCTTTTTGCTGTGAGTATACATGGGAAATGTAACTGCTGATGTGAATGGCGTTCAAAAAGGCTTTGCTAGTTGCATCTGTCAAGAGTTGGCATTTCAGTATCATTAGGAACTATTCATGGACTATGGTCAAAGGTCACCTTAAACTTTCAAGTAGATGTGCCTCATTGCTCATGTTGATGAGGAACATGTTGCTTGTTATAGGCTCACATCTGTACAGTGGCCTTGCTCCTGGAGATGGGGGCCAAGGTGAACCTCCAACAAGCAGCTGGGGAAACAGCACTCATGAAGGTAACCAAACAGTTCAAACCTTATCTGTACAGTACCATTAAACAGCAACAGTGTCATGTTGACCTGGCAATGAATCTTTGTGCGTATTTGTACAGATTTGCTTTGTTCAATAGGCTGTGAAACGTGGTCACAAGCAGATTGTCCGCTACCTTCTGGAAAGTGGTGCTAACTTCTCCTACCAGACTTACAGTGGTTGTAGTGCTCTCACCTACGCCAAACTTCACAGACTGGGAGATGTGGAGGATATCATTGTAGATCACATAGCAAGGTGAGTTGCTGGCATGTTTCTTGGGAAGTTCCTGGGCACACCATGTTTGTCTCATCATGGTTCCATCAAAATCCAAGGCATAAACTATGCAGCGTTAGAAATTGGCACTAGTGCCATAGTCCTTGCCAAACTGCCCAATAGTTAGGTATCATAAGGACTAGTAGACATTTGCTATTTTAAAGGGGTTTGCTATATGTTAACATTATAAGGACTAGTGGACTAAAACGGTTAGTTGCTACCACTGCTATGGGGTCTGCAGTACCTAGTATACCCTAGACCAAGGTTCTGTGGAACAAGGTTGCAGGAACAGATAGAAGTCTGCCTCAGAATCTGTTTACAATCTGTCCCCTTTATTTACGATGTTGTATATAAGTTGGTCGATGTCATATCACAAATCTTTAATAAAACTCATAATCCAAATTTTTCAATTTATGTTTTATGTAAAGTGTAGGTTCAAACTTTGAAAAAGTGTCAAAATGTAAACGCCATTGATGAATGCACACTGTTCAGCCAGGCTTTTTCGGGAGGATTGATTAGATAGTCTACATTATCAGATGATAGTTAATGTTTGAAAGAAATTTTATTCTAATTCTGTTTACAAAACTATCAGACACCTTAGATACATTTGATAAGGATTAAAAGTAAATATGATTGTCCAGTTAAATTTTGTTTGATATAATAATTACTTTTCCCGCAAACATACTCCTCCTGCTTGTCGAGTGACCTCTCTCTTCTGTAAAATGAATATCTCAGGAAATGCAAAATACGGCATTTTCAATAGAGACAGGTCAGGTCAACTGATGCAAACTGAAAAGCTTCCAAATGTTGTTCAAAGAGTTGGTATGATCTTTTGAACTTAAATACACTGTTCCCTCGTTATTGCGCCCTTCAATATAGCGCTAACTCGGTTATAGCGCGCGGTAAAGCATGGCTCCCGAAATTTACGAACATTTTCCATAGACACAAGTTTTCCAATGACGCGATGTTTTGTCCCCATCTCAGAAAATATCACCTGATCACCGCGATCACGTAACACCAGAAATACCAGTCAACAAATCGCACAACTCCACGTTGTTTACAGCAACCACGGTCAGATTACCGCTATTGACACCTTGAAACGAACTTTAGTTGCAAGAGAATGGATACACATATCATAAATGCCGTACCATGACTCGCTAAAAGTCATATTTGAGGCAGTTTGACTATTAAATGTCAACATAATGTTTTCGCAATCGAAATACATATAGCGCCGGAAGTCTCTACGGTGACTGGTGAAAATCGTCAAAAAATATCCTGCATACAATCTGTACCAAAGTGCTACACTTGTGGTTCTTATAATTTCAAGTATATATGGTGGAAGTTGCAACTAATTGAAATATATTATTCCTGATAGAATAATAATTTCAGATACAATTTCTTCCAACCATTGCATCAGATTTTTTTAAAGTGGTATCACGTTTTGGTACGTTTTAACTGAATCACTGGTAGATTGGGAGGAAACGTGTGCACAACTGATTTCCGGCTTAGTTTACAAGAAAATACACACGGTAATCTTAGTCTCTGCATATAAAACAATGCCTTTGAGATCAGGAAATACATTTTAAATGGTAAATCATCATGTCTAGCCATTGATATCATGAACAACCATCCAGTCAAACGGGTTCTGTTGACACACCATCAATCAATTCATCGAGCCGGATCACTTCTTTCAGTCACCTCCTATGACCAGCATTCGTTGCTGGTGACCATTTCTAACCTGAAATCACAACAGAGCCAGAAATGCTTGAAAAGAATATGCTAGCTTGGATCATTATTGAAATACGAAAGCCTGAAACTGAACAGTAAACGATTGTCTTTGAAATCAAATGTTGGAAATTCAAGGATAGTATGACAAACTTCATTTTAGAAAATAACTTGCCTATTTCACTGGAAGGGTCATCTTTATCGGAAAACGTTCCCAGATTACCAATTTGCTTCTCATCATCATGTCTAGTGATGTTTTATATCAAATTTCATACTTTTATTGACCAAGTTTGTTATAGATCTACCTGCTTATTCACCTGAAGGGATACGATGTGGTTTTTTTTTGAAAGCGCATGTTAATACTCTATCAATTCTTTTTTTACACTATGAATCATAAATTACTTCTGAAATGTGCAACGTAGATCGTGTTAGGTAGGCAGAGCCTGTATACTGTTTTGTTGGTCATCTACCACTTACGACTCAACCTTCGTTAAACCGCTGATCATCTATAACGCTCATCAATTATTTTGACCCCAAAGGTAGCGTTGTAGCGAGGGATCACTGTACAATGTTATCTGCTAATAGTAATAGTGCATAGCCACTTCTACTGTTACTGTACTAGGCAGTGTCATTGCTTTGATTAGACAAGCTGGCTTTAGCATCTTGGTACTGACATGTGCAATGTATTTTTATCGGCTGTACCCTGATGTGTTTATATTGTTGGGTCAGCCTTTCTTGGGGACTTGTCATTTAGGTTGTGATTTCAAGGGTTGAGATGGGAGGGTCAGTCTATATCCAGTGTCAACCAATACACGATAATATTTGGTAAATGAACAGTCATACTGCTTTCAGTATTGGTTAAATAAGTAGGATGTACAGCTACATCTACAAGAAATATTCTTCAACCTTTTACCCATTCTCTAAAGCTGCTAAAAGACCAAGCTGCACAATACAAAAGATGAGTGAAAGATTCTTAAATTTTCTTAAAATTCAGTCTCTTTCTCCCCAATTGTTCGAGGTTCCTATCTTCCATCCACTATGTCTCTTGGCTGGTGTGTAGACTAGTGTTATAAGAGTTCTCATGAATGGCTTACACATTTGCAGACTGACAGCGGAGTTTGACCGACAGGTGGCCATCACCCTGAACAACACAGCCCAGATCCTAAGCGCCCTGTTCCCCCTCCAATGCTTCCCTCTAGCAGAGACCGATAAGATTGTCATCACTTTCAAGAATGAAGTGGAACCAATCACCCCAGGTTTGACCGAATTTAAGATTGAGAAGATTTATAAGAGTATGATGAATATATTATAAAGAATGTAACACATGCTACCATGACACTGAAGATCGCTTGATTCTGATTGGTCCAAATAAGATAAAATCAGGTATCTGATTCCATTAGATACCTCAAAATTAACATGCCTTTTCACACACAAACTGTGCATATGAAGACATCTATGTATTGGATAAAACATGCCCCCAAGGTTTGGTTGAAAATGTAAAACCGCTAGCGTGGGAATAGCCTAAGGTGTTACACTTTCCACCAAAACCGAGGAGGCATGTTTTATACAACTTATGGACCGTCCAAATGCAAGAAATACCAGAAAACATAAGGAAACATTGAGATACCTTATAGTGAAATAATACAGTTTGTTGCAGTATAAAAAGAATTTGATTAAAGTGTGTGAGAGAAAAATTATGTGCAGCATGGACAAGCTGGAGTCATGTCATGTAAAATTGAACAACTTCTCATCACCTGCCCCGGTAGCTCAGTTTGTGACAAAACTTAGCACCATATATGAGGTTGTATGTTCGATTCATATCATGTAATTTTCATGTGACTTTCATCAAACACAGTTGTGTTCATATCAAGAACAAGTTTATAAAAGCAAGTTTGTAAAACCTAGGTATTACAATTGAAATGTAAAACTGTAAAGTATGTTTAGAAGTGACCCATTCAAAACCTAGGCTTGGAAGATGAGCTTGTTACAAGGTTTACCGAAGGATGTCAGGAACCTAATGCAATATAAATAAGGATAAGATATATGGATGAACAACTTCTCAATTACTATTAGGAGAGATGTTTCGGTGTAGATTCTAACACCACTATCAAGCAAGTGATATACACTTACTTACTTACTAACTTTGGAGATTTAACGTGCGCTTTCCGACTGATGCGTATTTCGCACACGGGCCTGGCCAGACCATTTAATGTGTTTCCGAAAGGGGCGAAGGTGGTCTGTGCAACCCAAGAGGGGGGTTTTAGGGGTTGCTTATATAGAATTTGGGAATTTTGAGATTTGGAATAGATGCCGATGGGATTGGGGAGGAGAACTAAGGGAGCTGGGTATGGTGGATGTTTGTTTGTTTATGTGATTTTGATTTGGTAGGTTATTGTGTTTTTAGATGCGTTTTATTAGTTCCGTTTTTATTAAGAATACGCCTAAGGCCTTGAAGTTTTCTAGTTTATTTTGTGGGTTTAGTATTGCTTCTAGAGTTAGAGCCTTGTTTAGATTGAGGGTGGTTTGTAATGCGGTTCGATGTGTTAGGTAGTGTGTGCAGTGGATGAGTGCGTGTTCTGGGGTTTCTGGTTGTTTGCAGTGTGGGCAGTTACCTGTAGTGTGTTTTTTAATTTTTTTTAGGTGGTTATTTAGGTTGGTGTGTCCTGTTTGGAGTTTAGTGATTACTCTGTCGATTTTTTTGGATGGATGGAGAATTTTTGGTTTGGTTAGTGGTTTGCTGAGCACTTTTTTGATTTGGCTATTTGAGTTTAGATATAGGTTATGCCATTTTTTTGTGATTTTTTTCTTGTTTACACTTTTAATTTCTGATTTTGAGATGGGTAAGTTTAAGCTTATTTCTATGATTTTGAGGGATAGTTTAGCTGCTTTATCGGTGTTTTCATTACCGTATATTCCTACGTGGGCGGGTATCCACAAGAAGGTTATTTGTTTGCCTGCCTTAGTTAGGTCGTTGGAGCTTTTAAGTATTTGATTTATTAATTTAGGTCTGTTTTTGGTATTTTTGTTTTGGAGGGCTTGCAGTCCACTTAGGGAGTCGGTAAGTATTAGGATTTTTTTGTGTTTTTTGGATTCTTGATTATGGAGGGCTGAGGCCATGCCCATTAGTTCTGCCGTGAATATTGATTGGTTGTTTGGGAGTCGGAAGGATTGTGTGGTTTTAGTTGGTTGTGTGGTATGGACTCCGAAACCTGTGTGTTTGGGGGTCGGATCTGAGGATCCGTCCGTGTAAATGTGACACCAATTTGGCCAATTTTCTTGTATGTATGCTAGTGTGGTAGTTTTAGCTATGTTTGGGTCGGTTTGTTTATTTATTTGGCTAGCTAGTGTTGTGTCTATTTTGGGTATTTTAAGTTTAGGGGTGAAGATATTTGATTGTTTGCAGTTTTGTTTAAGATTTTTAATTTGGTGTTCATTGAGGTAGTTTGTTATTCTTTGGGATATTGGGGTAAGTAATGGGTGTTTACGAGCTAGAGCTTGGTTTTTGGGGCTGATGTTTTGGTTTATTAAGTTTTGGATGAGAGGGTTTGATTGGGACGCGGCCCAGAAATTTAAGCTTAGCTGTTCCCTGCGTAGACTTAGTGGCATTTCTCCTGTTAAGGCCTGAAGTGAGGTGTAGGAGGTGCCATGTTGGGTGCGTGTAATTAGTTTGAGAGCCTGATATTGTATTGAGTCAAGTTTTTTAGATAGAGAGTTGTTTAGGGTGTTGTATATGGCGCAGCCGTAGTCTAGTTTTGATCTAATTAGTGATATGTAGAGAGAGAGGAGGGTATCTTTGGATGCTCCCCAGTTAGAGCCAGTTAGGCATCTAAGGGTGTTTAGGTCTTTACTGCATTTAGTTGATAGGTTTTGGATGTGAGCACCCCAGGTGAGATGTTCATCGAAAATAAGTCCTAGGAATTTGGTTTGTTTTTGAAATTTGATTGTTTGGTTGTTTAGCTGGAGGATTTGGGAGGCGGGTTTCATGTTTTTATGTTTGAATACTATTCCTGTTGTTTTTTCTGAGTTAAGGGAGAAGCCCCATTTGTCAGCCCATTGTTGTATTTTATTAAGAGATTTTGGGAGTAAATTTTGGACCATTTTCATGCTTTTAGTGTGGATCCATAGGGCTCCATCATCCGCGAATTTTGATGTTTTTACTTTAGGGGGTAGGCCCTCGAATAGATCGTTTATCATTATATTGAAGAGGGTGGGGCTGAGGATACTGCCCTGGGGAGTGCCATTTTCTAGGGGACATTGGTCCGATAGAGTTTGGTCTATACCCACGGTTATTTTATGATTGTTTAGGAAGTCCTGGATGTAGTTTATTATCTGACCTTTGAGTCCTATTTTTTAAAGTTTTTGTATTAGCCCGTCGTGCCAAACCATGTCGAAAGCTTTAGAGAAGTCTAAGAAGATGCCTGTGGTATATTGCTTATTTAGTTGTCCTGTCTTAATATCTTGCTCTCGTCGGGCGAGGTTATCTAGGGTTGAGTGGCCGTGAGTGAAACCGCTTTGATCTGGGTTTATGATGTTATTTGGGGTTAGGTAATGTTGTAATCTATTTTTAGCCATTGATTCCATTACTTTACATAAGTTTGAAGTTGGAAATTGGTCTATATGAGTTAGCTTGATTAGCTGGTTTATTAGGTTTAGGGATTGGTATGACTAGGGCCTGTTTCCAGGGAGTAGGAACCTGTCTGTTTAGGTAGATGAGATTGTATAGTTTGAGTACTGCCTGGAGTAGTTTTAGGGGGAGTTTTTTAATTATTTGGTAAGAGTTAGGTCTAATCCTGGGGCTGTGCCCTTTTTCTTGTTTTGTATTACGTAGAGGAGCTCCTCCATTCTGTGCAATTGTGGACAGGCTTATATTGGAGAAACATCTAGGCCCCTCAAAGCCCGAATTTAAGAAATCAATGCTCAGTCTCCAAAGATGACTCCAAGTCAGCTCTTTCAGACCATATCAGTGACAACCCAAGCCACAGTATCCAGTGGTACTAAGTCAAAGCCCTAAGAACCAACCTCAAAAACTTCAAAATCAGGAAACTATGAGAAGCCATCAACATCAAAAGACTCCAGCCGTCAATCAACCGTGACCAAGGCTATTACCGTGACCCGGCGTACCAGCAACTCATCAAAGACCCAAGTCATAATCCTTTTGTTTAAAATACTGGCTTCACCCTTTTGTTGATATTAACGGTTTCATCAGTCTATATGTTTTCCCTTGTGTGTACATAACAGGCTTCTCCACTCCAGTGTAACTACATCTTAATCTACTCTACTGTATAAACACTGCCTCCTACCTGTACTTAAACTTGTCAACCATACTCTGTATATCTCTAAAGCTTTCGATATGGTATGGCACCACGGGCTAATACAAAAACTAAAAAAAATAGGACTAAAAGGCCAAATAATAAACTTCATCCAAGATTTCCTAAACAATCGCAAAATTACCGTGGGTATAGACCATACGCTATCGGACCAGGGTCCCCTAGAAAATGGCACTCCCCAGGGCAGCATTCTCAGCCCAACCTTCTTCAATATAATGATAAATGATCTATTCGAGGGCTTATCCCCTAAACTAAACACTTCAAAATTCGCGGATGATGGAGCCCTATGGATCCGCACTAAAAGCATTAAAATGGCAGAAAACTTAATCCAAAAATCTCTAAATAAAATACAACAATGGGCTGACAAATGGGGCTTCTCCCTTAACTCAGATAAAACAACAGGAGTAGTATTCAAACATAAAAACATGAAACCTGCCTACCCAATCCTCCAGCTAAACAACCAAACAATCAAATTCCAAAAACAAACCAAATTCTTAGGACTTATTTTCGATCAACACCTCACCTGGGAGGCTCACGTCCAAAACCTAAAAACTAGATGCAGCAAAGACCTTAACACATTAAGATGTCTCACCGGCTTCAACTGGGGAGCCTCCAAAGATACCCTCCTCTCACTATATACAACACTAATTAGATCAAAACTAGACTACGGCTGCGCCATATACAATACCCTAAACAACTCTCTATCTAAAAAACTTGACTCAATACAATACCAAGCCCTTAAACTAATTACACGCACCCAACATGGCACCTCCTACACCTCACTTCAGGCCCTTACAGGAGAAATGCCACTAAATCTACGCAGGGAACATCTAAGCCTTAATTTCTGGGCCGCGTCCCAAACAAACCCTCTCATCCAAAACCTAATTAACCAAAACATTAGCCCAAGAAACCAAGCTCTAGCTCGCAAACACCCCTTACTCACCCCAATATCCCAAAGAATAACTAACTACCTCAATGAACACCAAACTCAAAATCTTAAACAAAACTGCAAAAAATCAAATATCTTCACCCCTAAACTCAAAATACCCCAAATAGACACAACGCTAACTAACCAAATAAATAAACAAACCGACCCAAACATAGCTAAAACCACCACACTTTCATACATACACGAAAATTGGCCAAATTGGTGTCACATATACACTGACGGATCTTCAGACCCGATCTCCAACCACACAGGTTTCGGAGTCCATACCACACAACCAGTTATATCCACACAATCTTACCGACTCCCTAACAACCAATCTATATTCACGGCCGAACTTATGGGCATGGCCTCAGCCCTGCATAACCAACAATCAAAAAACAACAAAAAAATCCTAATTCTCACTGACTCGCTTAGTGGGCTACAAGCCCTCCAAAACAAAAATACCAAAAAACGACCTAAATTAATAAACCAAATACTTAAAAGCTCCAACGACCTAACAAAAGCAGGCAAACAAATAACCTTCTTGTGGATCCCCGCCCACGTAGGAATTTACGGCAACGAAAGCGCCGATAAAGCAGCTAAATTATCTCTCAAAATACCAGAAATAAGCCTAAACCTACCCATCTCAAAATCAGAAATTAAAAGTGTAAACAAACAAAAAATGACCAAAAAATGGCATAATCAATATCAAAACTCAAATAGCCAAATCCAAAAAGTGCTCAGAAAACCACTAGCCAAACCTAAAATCCTACACCCCTCTAAAAAAATTGACAGATTAATTACAAAACTCCAAACAGGACACACGAACCTAAATAACCACCTAAAACAACTTAAACGACACACCACAGGCAACTGCCCCCACTGCAAACAACCCGAAACCACAGAACACGCACTCATCCACTGCACCCACTACCAAACACACAGAACCACACTACAAACCAACCTCAATCTAAATAAGGTTCCTACTCTAGATGAAATACTAAACCCTCAAAATAAACTAGAAAACTTCAAGGCCCTAGGCGTATTCCTAATCAAAACAGGCCTAATCAAGCGCATCTAAAAACTAATTAATCTACCAATCCAAAATCCAATAAACATACATACACCCACCTCCCCCAGCTCCCTTAGTTCCCTCCTCCACCCACCTCGGCATTTATTCCAAATTTTAAAATTTCAAAAAATCGATATAAGCAACCCCTAAAAGCCCCCTCTTGTGTTGCACACACCACTTTCACCCTCCTCGGAATACACTAAATGGTCTGGCCAGGCCCGTGTGCGAAATACGCTGCAGTCGGAAAGCGCACGTTAAATCTTCTATATCAGTCAGTCAGACTCTGTATATCACTTGCTTGATAGTGGTGTTAGAATCTACACCGAAACATCTCTCCTAATTGTAATAAAGAAGTTGTTCAGCCATACATCTTATCCTTACTTAGTACTCCAACTTCTTAATGCCTCTCAAAGAAGCTTAAATGCAACATAGGGTAATACGGTGATAGGTTTATTAGTACCAACAACCAACACATCCATGAATATCACAATAATTCCTACCCTACTTCTATTACATCATAGCCATAAAATCCTGTTTAGGCTGTAGAAAACACTCTTAGAGTTTTTATACGTCTTCTTCACTGCCAGCACATCTTGCAGGGAAAACCCTATCCTCCACAGGACATGTACCATGACAGTTTCATGTACCATGACATGTTTGTCAGATACAGTATCATGACAGTACCATGTATCATGACATGTTTGTCATGTATAGTATCATGACATGTTTGTCAGACACAGAATCATGACAGTACCATGACATGTTTGTCAGAAACAGTATCATCCCAGTACCATGTATCATGACATGTTTGTCAAGTATAGTATCATGACATGTTTGTCAGATACAGTATCATGACAGTACCATGACATGTTTGTCAAGTATAGTATCATGACATGTTTGTCAGATACAGTATCATAACAGTACCATGTATCATGATGTTTGTCAGACACAGAATCATGACAGTACCATGACATGTTTGTCAGATACAGTATCATCCCAGTGCCATGTATCATGACATGTTTGTCAAGTATAGCATCATGACATGTTTGACAGATACAGTATCATGACAGTACCATGACATGTTTGTCACATACTGTATCATCTACCATGACATGTTTGTCAAATACAGTATCATCCCAATACAATGTATCATGACATGTTTGTCAAGTATAGTATCATGACAGTACCATGTATCGTGACATGTTTGTCAAATACAGTATCATGACAGTGCCATGACATGTTTGTCACATACAATATCATCTTCCATGATATGTTTGTCAGATACAGTATCATCCCAGTACCATCTATCATGACATGTTTGTCACATACAGTACCATGATATGTTTGTCCGGTACAGTATCATGTACAATGATATGTTTGTCACATACACTACCATGATATGTTTGTCAGATACAGTATCATCCCAGTACCATCTATCATGACATGTTTGTCACATACAGTACCATGATATGTTTGTCCGGTACAGTATCATGACAGTATCATGTACCATGATATGTTCGTCAGATACAGTATCATGTACCATGATATGTTTGTCAGATACAGTATCATCCCAGTGCCATGTATCATGAGATGTTTGTAAAGTATAGTATCATGACAGTACCATGTATCATGATGTCTTGGTCAGGTGTTGGCTTCCTGCTGTTCATTGCACATGCAAGAATAACCCCCCATGAAGTGAAGTGCCGCTTCTATGGACCATGTGCAGTCAAGTCTGTGTTCCTCAATGGTGTGAAGCAGCCATCCATGACAGAGGTAAGATACGAAACACACCTGTTACCTCCAAATGGTGTCACTGTTGTCTCCCAACATAGTCCATTAAACCTATATATTTGCTGAAAATGATTTCGTATTACCTATTTAGTTTACCGCTGAACTTGGAGTTACTGTAAGACAGTGAAACTAGGTAGAAATCATCCTTAGTGCAAGGCTGTGCAGTTGTAGTGACCTATGTATAAGGTCAGTGTCACTGATTGTCATTCATAAAGTATGTGGATGTAGTACTAGTAGTTTTACCTATTAGCCAGGAAGCCTTTTAAATGTCTTACAGTATCAAGAAGTTAATCAAGTATAACATGCTTCAATTCAAAAAGACCTTATTTTGTTCACTGCTGACACATCTTCTGTAAATAAAGCCTCTGCAGTTTTCCAGCATCCCTTGCTTCCTACTCATTCATCATTTTCTCTTGTTATTGTGTTGTTGTTTATGGTTTGGGACTTTTTTTATCTTATCCTTACATAATTTATACTATATTTCCGCTTGTTTGTGGCTCTCAGTCACGGTAAATAGGAGCGTATTCACTTTTGTTTTTCCAATCCACCATTTTGAATTTGAATGGTGGCCACACTCTTTTGTTTTGTGTTGTAAATTCTTTTGTTTTGTTTTGGTAATTCATTACTCTTTATTACTTATCTCTTTGTGTGTGTTTTAAGTGTTACTTCACACTTATTTTGGCATTATTTTTGCTCCTATAAATCAATGAAGTTTAAAGGGGCACTGATCTAACGCAATTCCCCGGGACTGGTTGTTGCCTTTGTTATTGTTTTTTCCCAGTGAGTACCCGGATGTATAGCAGAAATCTAGACTAGTTCGCGACCTCTGCTGCGCTATTCGTAAGCGCATTAGTCAATGGGTAGTAATAAGGGCGTAAGGTCACATTGATTAACAAAATTAAATACAGTTTTAGAGATAATAAGGAAATGTAGGTATGTTTGTGGGTAGCATCGGTAATGGTGACGAAGTTTTGATAAGTCACTTGCTTGGTAATTTTGCGAATTTTCGACACTATTACACTATTTCGACTTGCAACACAAAGTAAATATTTCACCTGAGCATTGCTTTTTTTATAGTGTGTATATTTTTTTACTGTCAAAATGTGTAACAAATTTATTAAACGTCTAAATATTCAGTTATTTTACAAAGTGACTGAAAACCATTTCCATCTGTATTATTATGATAACGAATTCCAAACATTTTGATGTTTAATGTCATCACCAAGAGAAAATGTTACGTTGAAAAGTACATTTCTATGTTGTTTGGCTTCTCATCCTACATAATAATCTGTTGTGGTGTTTTTAGGCCCGTCGGATCGTCTTAATCAATTTTAGTCAATCTGGATGGATTTTTCAGTCAAAATGCCTGAAATATTTACACATTTTATAAATTGCCTGAGAGAATCAGATTTTACAAATTGACGGTAATATATACACGCTTACAAAGGATACTTGTGAAAACAACGTCTATCGCGCATTGAAGAATTTCCCAACCAAGATGTAGAGGACCAAGAACGAATCGGTTCAAATGAAGGAAAACAAAATGCAAATACCATAATTACAACCTACCAAATTTATGTGTATAAATTTTAGGCAGCTTCCTTCTTCGAGGAATGTATCCGTGAATATCCATGCACACAACAATATCCTACTCGTCTGCAGCTGTACAAAGAAACTTATTCGATGTCACGTGTCTCTGTAACAATCAAATATTTTAAAAGATATATATCGTTTCGTGTTCGTTTCTCAACTGATCACTTAGATTGTTTCAGGTGTTTCACATAGGTGTCAAGTCTTAAGGGTCGGCTGAGAAAGCCCACGTGACAACTATTTTCATAACGTCCACGGTTCCTAAAAAATCCATCGAGTGATAGATAACAATGAGCAATCAATCAACGTATTATCAGTTAACCCTTTGAACAAAGTATGTTGTTTTTACATCGGCACTTCACGCCATGATGTGAGTGTATTCCCTTTGTTTTAGTAAACCTAGACATGTAAACACTCACTTTTGACATATCCACTGTGCAAGATAACAGTGATTAATCAATCAACGTATTTTCTGTTAATCCTTTGATGGCTAGGAACGATCCGTTGATTTACAACAAAAAAAGTGAATCAACTGATCATTCATCTCTTGCTGGGATGCCACGTGCATATTACATAACACACATTTCATCTCACTTCAAACCTGGATTTAGATTGAATAATTACCCCAGACACAATAAATGCCAAATGGGAACCTTGGTCAGGAAATCTAAGTGGTGCTACCACTAATTGTACCTGTAATAAATTCATTAACTGAGCATCAAGTGAATGACGACAAATACACAAGTGTAGGGTTATACGAGAAAACGTGGATGACAACAAGAGAGTAGTAATCGTATTATCGACGCAATCGGAAATCCGAAAATGCTTTCACTGCAAGGATACTTTTTTTAGTATTAAACTATAACCATCTCGGGTATTTCCAAATGACGACATCCGATGAGCTCCGTCGTTCTTTTTGTCTGTTTGTTTAGGCTGGAGAAATTAATTAACATGCGCCCTTTGTCGAAATTTTTATAGATCACAGTTAACCAATCAGTGTTTATGCAAAAATGCGTAAAACAAATATTGCCTCCAACCTCCAAGTTTATTTAGCTATCCTTGCAGACGGTAGCCCAGTCTCTGGTCACGCTCAGTTGCGTTGCGTATCATCCGGGTACTCACGGGGGAAAAACAATAACAAAGGCAACAACCAGTCCGGGGAAATGCGTTAGATCAGTGCCCCTTTAAGTTATGAATTTCCTTCCGTTTCCCCGTGGTGTGTTTACACACGTTGTGAATCTGACTTTGCTTAAATTACAGATTTATTCCTCGTTGATTGTTTGTTACAGAAGCAGGGCAGTGTTCCTCACCCTGTGTCTTAATTGCATGGGCCACCATTCAACCTCATCACAGTGTTGCTTCTGCAGTCCCCTGCCTGAGAAGGACTTCTCTCCCTACTTGAGAGCTCCTAAAAAGTGACATACTCAGTGTGCCCACGGACACCCTTTGATGTCCGACGTCACTTCATTCCTGCCTCGGCTATTGATGATACTACCTCTGAGTCACAGTCTACCTCCCCCTCCCCTTCGACCTCTGTTTCTACTATGACACCACAGACGACATCACCTCCGTTGCTGGTCATGTCATCCCAGACGGTGACCGCTCATCAGGATAATACGGCGATCTACGTCTCTGCAACGTCTCAGGTGCTTGAACCACCCTTGGCGACTACAACCCCCCCCCCTTTCCATGGACTACCTGGATGCCTTATCATCTGGTGCAGCAACATGTTCTGCCCGCCTCTTATATTTTTATGGATCCTAACTGGATGCACGTTTGGGTGCAGTCCTTGTTTAGACAGTCCATGGCACCAGCGGTGTCTCCTGCTCAACTGGTGGCAGGGGTGCTTCCTATGACTCAAGGTTCCTGTTGTCCTGATGATATTTCCTGTCACCAACTCATCGGCGGCGCCACTAGCGCCTTCTTCATCTATCCCCATGACGGAGATCTTACCCCATCTACTTATACTAGATCATGATGTGATTCAGCCTGTCCCGGCTCTTCATAGCACAGCTCTAAGTCATCCCGGTCATGTCACTGTTCATGCAGCTGTTCACCCGTCCTGAGGATTGAGGGAGCGTTAACAGATGGTACATGTTGTTACCCTGTCTGGCACTGGGCATTAAGGAGCTAAACCAAGGACTGGTCGGCTCATGAGTCAGGCAGTTTGGCCGCCATTCCTCCATCACCGGGCCCATGCATTGCATGCTTACTTGTACATAATGCTGCACCCCTTGGATCAGACGATCAGACGCTTGTCGCTTACGTCAATGTGACAGATTCACTAACTTCAGCTGACCTCCGATGCCAAAGGGTAACAAGACACCACCCTTCAGCATCACCTCGACCTAAGAACCGGAGCGCTTATTCAGTGCTAAGATGATAGAAACGATCACATACTTCATACGGTATGATCTTTCAGACCAAAGTATTCAACATTCAGCCCTTTCTACTAGCTACAAAATCGATTTTGTGTCAAGGCCCGACTGAAGTTGACTTTTCAATTTTACAATCTTGTAGACAGTCTTATCTAAATCTGCTACCTGCTCTTCAACAGCTGCTTACACTTTGTCAGTGATCAGTGACTAGTGCTCATGGGATTGCTCACGTCAGCCCAGGATTTGAGTCACCTACACCTGGGTACTATCCAACAGTTCCTGGGGCCTTACATAAAACGTCAGGACCCTTGCCATTCAGTTGCTCTACCGCCTCACCCCAGGAGGAAGAGTCAAACATCTTAGGAGGTGTCTCCTTAACAGTTATCCCTGACGTCCCTCCTGTTTGTAAGAAGCTTCCCTACAGGGTTTGGACCAGATGACGTCAGGGCTGTGGACTGGCGCACAGTGCACTAGGCAATATCACACCGGCAGAAGAGCCTCTGCTACACTCAACTCGCTTTTTCCACTGACAACATCACGGTGGTTTTGGTGTCTATGCAGTAAGGGGACGAGACACTCTCACTCCCTCCTTCAACGGACATTCCGGTTCTTCCATCTGGTAGATCGGCTGGGCCTCTGCTTTTTGGTCTGGATTGAGGAATGTTCTTGCAGACGCTCTATCAAGGTCAGGAAGAGAAGCCCCTTCTCAAGACGTTTCTTCTCCCATGTCAGCTCCTGGGTCATCCCATCGACCTTTTCACCACTTGTAAGAACATCCAGATCTCAACTTTTGTCTCCCGGATCCCAGACCCACAAGCTTGGGAGGTGGACGTATTCAGCATCACTTCAGAGGGACTAAGAGTGTATGCTTTTCGGCCACCAGTACTTCTTGCCAAGGTGAAGTCCAGGGCAACCAAAAGCCTCACTCTGACTTTGATCGTGCCTTGGTTGCCAGCGAGGGGCTGGTTTGTGAATCTCAAAGACATGTTTTCATCACAGGCTTGGTACATCTGCAAAGAGCCTTCCTTAGGTGCAAAGGGTTATCTGGCAGCGATAGCTATAATTTGGCTCACAGATCTGCTACCAGGGGAATTTATGACGACAAGTGGCTATCCTTTGGGAGTTTCTGCAAGGAAAAACATAAGGACCCCACTACTGCATCTCCCTGATTCTTGGCGGAATTTCTTTTGTTCCTGCACAGCAAAAGACACCTCAAGGGCAGTACTATTACTACTTAAGCTGAAAAAAATACAAGAATTTGGTTCTCAGGCAATTGCTTTTGAAAATATTGTGTGGGTGGGTGGCTTTTTTTTTGTTGTTGTACAAATTAGTAAGAATCCAAATCCATATCCCTGTATATAAGGTAAGTTTTTCGTACCTAGAATTAAGGGGCTTTCAAGGGGGGTTGTCTTGTACACAATGTTGAAGAGTTTTGATGTTTTTCAAAAAAAACAAGGACATTACTGTGAGCAAATCCGTACTGAAGTACGCAAACTAATCATGTAATTACACTGTCTGGTTATAAAAAGAGTTTGTTATCTATCTTATCTAGACAAACTTATGTTTGTAAACTTTATTAATTTTATTCAAAATTTCATTCAATATTGTTTCCATTCATTTCGGCAAAATTGTATGTGAAGAAAGATAACACAACTCATTGTTATTTACAGCAACCCAAGTCATATTACCGTTATTGATGCCTTGAAATGAACTTTAGTGGATAGAGAATAGATATATGTATCATAAATGCCATACATTGACTCCCTGAAAGTAATATTTGTTGTACTTTGACTATTATATGTCAACATAAAGTTTCCGCAATCGCGGGCGCATCGACGGTGTTCAAATTGTTCCATACCAAAAAATATTTGGCAATAGCGATCACCTGTACCAAAGTGCTAGGCTTATGGTTATTAACTTATTTTAAATGTATATAGGTAAGGCTGCAACTGAAATAACATGATATTGGAATAAACTATTCCTGATAAAATAATAGTTTTAGATGCAATTCTTCTGCTCATTCTATCAATGTTTTTTAAAGTTATATTATTGGCTAATTTTTCACCGAATCACCAGTAGATTCTGAGAAAAGTTGTACAGCTGATTGCTACTCCTAGCTTAGTTTTCAAGAAAATATACACAGTAATCTTTATCTCTGCATATAAAACAATGCCAGTCAGAACAGGAAATACAATTTAATCGGTAAATCATCTTGTCTAGTGATGTTTTATCTCCAATTTCAAATTTGTATTGACCAAGTTTAATTTGTTATAATCTGTTCGTTTCCCTGAATTCGCTGAAGGGATACAATGCAATTTTTTTCAGCCGAAGACAAACCCGTTTTTATTGCAAATGTAGGGATTTTGTATGCGCTGGTGACATGCTTCATTCCGGTTCACTTTATAGACGGGGTATATATATATCAGCATTGATTTTGAAGGCTTGTACAGGGGAGTCACCTTAGGTGTGGGGTCACTTTATAGACGGCGATAAACGGTACATTACATTAAAATCGTGTATGATTTGATCCGCAAATCACATCAACTCATCATAAACTCGCCTTGAAACGAACATAAGTCATTAGAGATACACAATCTTCAGTCTGCTATTTCTGGCTTATTTTATAAGGCAAATACCCATGTAAATCTTAACCTGCATAGAGTTCACAAATACCATTGAATTTGTAAATCATCATGTCCAGTGTTGTTTTATCATAAATTTCATGGGTTTTTTTACCAAATTTTCAAACAGTAAAACAAACTCCTATTGCCGCCATAACCATAACACACGAGATGCGCAGTAAAGCATGAAAAAGGAAGTAACTGCACGCTATATTGGATCAATTGTTTTTAAGTATTGCAGCATTTCACTGTTGGGGCCGTGTGTTCGAAACGGGGAATATTTAAGGATTTTTATTTTAAAAAATTGAAAATTGAAATAAAAATGAAAGGTGTGAAACCAAGAATATTTTTTTGTTAAGCCTTACATAGTGGCCTTTAACTCAGTATTGGCAGTCCCGGAAGTTCACAGAATGACAAAGTTTCCGGAACTCCAAGCTTTGCTGCGATCCTTCAGATCTGTCAGAAGGCTAAGTTCAGAGCCCCGGAGTGGGATTTGAATGTGGCTCTAAGTTGCTGCGTGATGCCCCACTTCACTCAGCTTCATTATACAACCTCGTCAAGAAGTTGGTCTTCCTCTTGGCTCTGGCTACTGTGGCAAGGGTGAATGAGCTACATGCATTTGACATCACCCTTGTCCGATTTGAGCGCAGGGCGCACGGTGCCGTTCATCTTGGGGTGTGATGGGATTTCATAGCCAAGAATCAACTCTCAGGGCAGCCAGACCGATCCTTCACCATCCCAACTCTCTCTTCGATTGTGGTACTGAACACGAGCAGGAACTCCACCTATGCCCAGTTCGTGCACTAAAGTGTTTTCTCCAACACTCCAAGGCTCCACGTGATGCCAGGAGAGGACTATTCCTCCAGGTTTTCCACGACCTCGCAGACAAACGTTAACCGTTAACACAATCTCCTTGTGATTTTGAGCTCTCCTTCTACAGGCTTATCAGAATGATGGCTTGGATCCCCCAAGGACCAAATACCCTCATAAGATCAGAACCATCAGTGTCCACAGCAACTGCTCCATCCGATCTATCATTGAAGATTGCTTCTGGCGTTCTGACACAGTCAGCGCCAGCCACTTCCGGGGAGTCATAGCCTTAGAGGATGTGGAGGGCATCCACAGCTTTGGCCCCTTGGTTGTTGCCCAGCAGGTCACCAACTCCAAGCACCAATGACTCTTCCTGATGCTCTGAGCTGACCTTTCAGCCTTTCAACCTCTCTGATGCTTGTCACCCCTGACTAGAGGGTTTACATCCTACTGACATTAGCTCGGTACGTCAGTTTTAGACCTTGGCACATGTTTTTTTCTATTACTGTACTGTTACCTGGACATCCTGCATCCCTCGCACTCTCATTTTTTTCTGACAAAACTGGTCACACGGTTCTGGTCATCGCGAAGGATGCTTTGATGGTACCTTGGACATTTTGAAGAGGGTCCCTTGAGGATCACATCTGAAGGTATGCCCCCTACATACTGTCTGATAAGGATGCATATAGGAGTATTCCAGGATAAGTTAAAAAATGTAGTAAAATCTAAATATGTGTTACATTTTTATACTTATCCTGCATTACTTCATCTAAGTTCCCTCTCATCACAGTGCTACCTCCACAAGAAGTCTTCAGATGTTACGTTTAAAAAAGTAGCAATGTGCTCCTATGTCACCTCACCACTTCCGGGTCACATGGCAACTGTCTGAGTGTACTGCCAGACAACTGGTTGGAACAACTTCTTCTGCAGATGGACCTCTTACAGCTTTGTCTTTCTGTCAAAAAACAGCAGTAAATGCATTAAGGAATATTGCAGTAGAATTACAGTAGAACATGGATAAAAAAAGATGACCAGAGGAATCAGCTTGTTATTAACGTTGTTTGTTATATGCGTTTTCACTCAGAAACGTCAGCCATCTTGGATAAAACAAAACAATATTCACGTATTTGCAGCATTGATTTGTATTTGCTGTGATAACATTTCATAACATTCATTTAATAACATTAAATTCAAAACATTTTTAGAAACTCATTTATCAAATATGTATTTAGCATTTCACGATTTACATACGGGGAGATGTGTAGTCAATGATTTTGCTCTGGCCTCGTTTTGCTGACTGCATTCATGAAATTGCATAGGTTTAATGTTTGTTTCACAGACAAGATTAGTCCAATTACATGTACAGGACTGGAATGAAATTTCATATTTGTAACTCCTTACTGGTTTTGAATAAAATTAATGAAATGGGTAAAAACTTGAATCAAGAAATAAATGGAACACTTTTGAATACACTTAAGTATAATAATTTCATTAACTGGCAAAAAAAAAGTGCGCACTATACTCAAGAAAATACGGTACTGTTTGTCGCCTTGTGGAAAAAAAATCAAAACTCATTATGTATAATACAAGCACCTCTGGTTCTCTGGTTCAGAAATAAATAATACTGGGCGGGGTGGGGTTACTAGTCATTCTAGAAACAACAATAAGGGATCAAAGATCGGAGGAACCATTGATGGGTATATAGCAGTCCCATTATATAACACTTGGCATTTGGATTTTTATTCAGTTTGGAAAAGAAAAGAAAATGTGTAATTATAGTTAAGAATTTCCAACAGAGATCCTCAGGTCACCGTAACCTAAAAGTATGTGTATCTGATACTGACCATGAGAAGGCATCATCATCAGTATATTACCATGGGTTTTTGCCAAATACTACTAAAATAGTGAAAATAGCCCCAATGTTCACCCCTAATAATGGTAATGCTATTTTACAGGGCTTTATTATTTGCAGAAGCCTTTGGTCTACTCAACACACTGAACCAAAAGTCTCAGTTAATGGCAGGTCTGCTAATGATATTGCCCTGAAAAGTAGTGTTACCCTTTTACTAATGTCTGAATAATTTTACTCTTAACATTGTGGCTCACAGCAATAACACACCCACCAGGTTTCCTTTTGGGCTGACACAAGAAAGCAATAGTGGCACATGTAATCATGAAAGTTTAAATATGGGAGATGTAAATATGTAAAAGTTTTTGTTCTGTGTCATATGTTGTAGATGACAACTTCTGTGCATGAATTGAAACCTGTGAGCTTCTATAACATGGTAATGTGTTGCTGACCATGATTCAGTTGTGTCAAATAATGATGCAGGGTTTAGTGCTTTTGAAATCATTGCTGTCACATTACGTTGTCCATCAACAGAGATAATCTGCACGTAGTGAAGTGCACTGCTTAGTGGTACTGGATGAGAGGAACTGTTTTGTTGCAGGAGGCCAACTTTGTTCTGTCTTGCCACCCAGTCCTGCCAGGAAAGAATGAACTGTGTATACACACTGAATCTGCTGTCTCTTCCAAGGTGAGAAACACATTAATCCTACTCTTTATATCAACAGTCAGAATAACTCATGATCTGTCATCCCTATAACCCGACCTCAGGTTACTGTAAATATGTCCTGCCTCATATACTATTAGATATGGTGTCTTTAGTTGCCAGGGGGCACGGATGGCCCAGTCGTCTAAGGTGCCGCGACTCACTGTGAAGATTTGCGTCCCTTGGGCACGCCAGAAACCTATGATTGTGGGTTCGAATCCCGGCCCGCCCTGATTATGGGTTTCACGAAGTGGTAAACGTCTGAGACCTGCATCACTTCAGGCTTTCATTCCACATCAAGCTGACACGCCGCTATATAGCTGGAATACTGCAGCGTTAAACCCAACTCACTCACTCTTTTGTTTCCGTATATGGTGTCATATTAGGTAAGCAGAAAAATATTGAGCAAGGTGTAAGCCCAGCCCAATATTTTTTGCAAACCTAATATGACACTGTATACAGCAACTAAAGACACCGTAACAAATATATTTTGCTGAAAAGTTTACAATATGTGGTATCTTTATCGCACGTCCAAGTCAAAATGAAAACTTGACACTTACAATCGGTATAAACAACAGGACCAGTACATATGTTTTGGATACAGCGCTCTTATGTAAATATTAACAATGGAATATATAATGCACTAAATGTGAAGTTTTTAACAAGTATTATAGTTAAAATGGATAGAATTGTCATAAAAATGCCCTCATGTTATCAGAAATCTGGGGGCCACTCTAACTTTATAGCAGTCTGAATATATAATGCACTTAATGAGAAGTTTTAAGCAAGTATTAAAACATAAATGGATAGAATTATAAAAAGGCCCGCATGTTATCAGAAATCTGCAGGCCGCTGTAACTTGATAGCAGTCTGCTTTTCCCTAACGACGTCATTGACGTCATTGGCGTCACATTTCTTGTTTGTGAGGTCTTCCTAGATTATGAACTATGATGTTGCTATTTGTAATTTGATGACCTCTGTTATAAGCTTTATTTTTTAACTTATCCTGCATCACTCCTTAATGCATCTACTGCTTGTACACTTACGCCTCGCTCAATATGTTTCTGCTAACCTAATATGACACGGTATACAGCAACTGAAGACACCATAAAACATTATTATGCCAAAAAAGTTTACACTATTTGGTATCTTTATCACACATATTCGTAAATATTCCTTGTTCCTCAATGTCCCAAAATTCCACCGCTTCATCTTCATGGGAGTCCACTATCAATGGGCGGTGCTCCCATTTGAAATTTCCTACTCCCTGCATACACACATCACCAAACCGATAGCGTCCTTCCTCCACATGAGGCCTATATAGACAACTGCCTCATGAACCACCAGGACAGGTGGGAGCAAATCCCAACTCCACCTGCTCCCGGGACTCCACCAATCACACAGGACTTGACCTCAAGAGGACGACTCCAACTGTGCCTGATTCAGGTGTTCCTGGCTCCTTACATCAGAAGCCGGTATTCATCGTACTCACAGCCCTTCTCATGCCTCATCTCCGGTGGTGGATGGTGGAATTGAACGTCTTAGACGGCGTCTCCTTGACGGAGCTTAAGACCTCATTGATGCTTCTCTTCAAGGATGGGAAGTGCTCCTGGAAGGGCAAGTCGCCTCGGGGCTGTAGTCTGACGCTCAACAGCGTTGGCATATCAACAACCTCGAACTGGAGTCGCTTATACTGTCTCTTCTCCAGCACGGGTGGATCGCCAACTTGACGGACAACATCATCGTCGTCTGGTGCCTCCGGAACCAGGAAAAGACTCACTCCCACTCTCTCCTTCAGCAAACGTTCTGATTCCTCAACCTGGTCGATCAACTGGGGCTCCATTTCCAGGTCCAACACATCCCGGGTTGCCGCAACATTCTGGCAGACACCAACCAGACAAAGTCGCTCCAACAGATTGGAAGCTCCACCCTGATGCCCTCGCTATTGTTTGTCTGCACCACGGTCGCCCCAACATAGACCTATTTGCCTCCAGCCAGTACTGACAGATCTAGGCCTTCATATCTCCGGTACCAGATCCGCAGGCTTGGGCAGTTGATGCCTTCAGCCCCCCTGGGAAGGACTAAATGTTACGCTTCTCCGCCGCCTGTACTCCTTCCCAGGATCATCCAAAAGATCAGAATGACGCAGAGCCTCGATCTGAGAGATAGCTGACGCCGACCCTCTCCAACTCCCACTCCCAACTCTTCTGATTCTACCACACAGCAAACAACCACACTGGGCACCAGACTAGTTACATCTACACGTCTGGTCAATCAAGCCTTTAGTGCTAAGGGTCCACCAGCATGGAGCTGTTCCCCTCGGACAGTGCTTGGACATTATCGCTAAGAACCAGCTCCCAGGACAGTTTGACAGATCCTATCTTATCCCGCCTCTATCGTTGATAGTGGGAATGGAGGATGAACAAGAGCTTTTACTGTGTCCGGTGAGAGCACTGCAATGTTACATCTGCTAATCCAAGGATAGCCACAAACAATGCTGCCGTCTCTTCATTCCAGTCTCAGTGACCTCGCAAGTGGAAGTCAGCTGCAATACCATTGCCCTCTGTGGCTTCGAGCCGTCATTCACCAGGCCTACAAGTCTGCTGGACTGGATCCTCAGAGAGCCGGCAACCCGCATTACGTCCGGGCAGTGACCTCCACCATGGCACTTCACAGCAACTGCTCCATACAACGCAATTATGGAAGGCTGTTTCTGGCGATCTGACACCATGTTTTATCTGCTGATCCGTAATGTCATCACTTCCGTTGGAGCTGTGTGATAGGGTTGTATTCTCAGCTAGTCAAGAACAAGCAGTAGATGCATTAAGTATACAAATATATAAAATATCTAGGATTTTCCTAGTTTTCTCTATACTTTTTATTAATACAGTGACAAACATGGTTTCTTTAAAAATTAATGTCTTTGCCCATCACACTTAATGATATTAAAACACAAAACAGTGTTGAATAACGAATTTCTGTACCAGAATGTTCATGTGAAATATGTGAGGTGGGTGTTGGAAAATGTATGTTACTGACGGTATACGGTCTCATATTAGGTCAGTAACAACCATCTTGGATTTTTACTGACGGTCTATGGGCTCATGTGGGGTTAGTAGTTCTGCTCTCTGATTGGTCAATCTCACTTTTCACTCAATGTTTTTCAGGCCAAGCTGGTGGTGTGTGCATACAAGGCACAGCTCATACAATGAAGACCACACACTTGCATCACTTGTATTTACATTTCTGCTGGGCATTCTCATGGAAGCTGTTACAAGAAGCATGTATAGGAAGACAAGGTCATATGTTAAACACCTTTGTATTCAGCTAGCAGCATCCACTCAATCAGAACCTGCATCAGTGCTGTGTTCATCTCCTGTAACATCCTCTGCCCCCTCTCACTGTGTCGCATGACCTCATAGGTGTCTGGGAGATGATGTACAATGTGTTCTCAAGCTTGTATTCTATAACATAAACTTGAGGTTTAATGCAAAGCTTAATAGTGTGAAGGCAGATTTTAACTGTTTGTGCAGAATTTGGTGTTTGGTTCTGAATATTTCTGTTAGATGAAAGTTCCAACATTCATCATTTGAAAGTGAAATACTGAGACTCCTGTCTGAGTGTATGGGAAGATACAATCCTTTGTATGGCAGTTTGGAGTTGTCTTATTCTGTACACGTGTTGGTATGTGTAGGACCTGGTTTTCTGTCTATTCCCGAGGTTGATTTTGTGATGGAAAAGCCAGTAACGAGGATGTAGTGAGTTGCTTGCAATGTTAACTAGTTGTAATTTATGAATATGTAACAGACATGTTCCCAGATGATGTCACCAATAGTATATATTGACATGTTATCCAATTATTGTTATTTTCTATACAAGTAGTATTGGTAGCACAGATGGCTACAGCCTGAATAAGTCTTTCAGTTGATGTTTTTGTACTAATAACGAGTTGGAGTTGTACAGTCTCTACTGTATTGGGAGGTAGAAGCATTAGAGTAAATCTGAAGGGCCAAACGTTTACTTATTTTATTTTCAGATTCAAGATCATGATGAAATTATTTGTTTTTTCTTTGTCTAAGACCTTGAAAGATAATGAAAAGATTTTCCATGGCGACATAGAATTTTCATTTTAAAAAATCAAATATGAAAATTAGAATGACTCTTGCCTCACACTATTGAAAAATTAGTTTATTGTGGTGGCTTAAATTCATTGTTTATGTCATTTGACATTTGTTTTGTCAATTGGCCAATGATCTGCATTGCTAAATATGAAAATGGTTTGTGTTAGTTGTTGTTTGGAAGTCTCCTTGAAAGAAACTAATGACCACCTCCATCCAACAACCCTATATGTTACATGAGGCCAACATAGAAAAGCATTATAGTGAGCTAAAGTTGCCTACATATACCATGTGATGTTTACGCTACACATTTCACTGTTGGCAGTTGCTAAGCCCTAAAAAGTTTGGTTGTCTTTATCCAAACTAGTTTAATAAGACAAATACTGCAAAACCCAGTTAATCAGTTTGAATACTTTCTGGATTAAGGAATTGATTGTCAAAGAAATACTTATTGTTATTGATTACCAACAGTGATAGACCGGGCAGGCTCTGAACTTCCATGTTTCACTGTACATGTATAAATAGCTCTATTAGCAACTCAAGAAACAACCACTGCTATTTGTTGTGAGTTATGTGCCAAACTTTGTGAATGTTGTCTTATGTGAGTAGCAGCGTCTTTGTGTACATGTGGTGTGGCTCACTCCCAGGCAGGACTGTGGAACTCCCTGCAACAATATGTAGTCATGTCGTCTCTTGCTGGGTGTTGGGCCTGCTAACAACTGAGGCTAGTCACTGCAGTGTCATCCCTCGCTTGGTGTTGGGCCTGCTAACAACTGAGGCTAGTCACTGCAGTGTCATCCCTCGCTTGGTGTTGGGCCTGCTAACAACTGAGGCTAGTCACTGCAGTGTCATCCCTCACTTGGTGTTGGGCCTGCTAACAACTGAGGCTAGTTACTGCAGTGTTGTCCCTCGCTGGGTGTTGGGCCTGCTAACAACTGAGGCTAGTCACTGCAGTGTCGTCCCTCGCTGGGTGTTGGGCCTGCTAACAACTGAGGCTAGTCACTGCAGTGTCATCCCTCGCTTGGTGTTGGGCCTGCTAACAACTGAGGCTAGTTACTGCAGTGTCGTCCCTCGCTGGGTGTTGGGCCTACTAACAACTGAGGCTAGTCACTGCAGTGTCGTCCCTTGCTGGATGTTGGGCCTGCTAACAACTGAGGCTAGTCACTGCAGTGTCGTCCCTCGCTGGGTGTTGGGCCTAATTAATTGCCATTTGCAGTGTCTGATATCACATGGAAATATCAACCTATGTTTCTGATATGCAGTGCATTTACATTTTGTAACCTTTGTTATGTATTCTACAATATAATTTTCCATATGAAAAGTTGTTTCGGAAGATAATGTGTCATTGAATTGACAGTAACATTTTCACTTTTCAACAGTTGACATCGCTCTTTATGCAGTCGTGATGCTTCAGTATGTAATTGTTGTAACACTTTATCTAAAATGTCTTAGAATGCTATTTTTGTATTTTTATACTTGCCCCTTGTGTTACGCATTAGTATGGGATTGACTGCTTCCTCTAGCACACACCCAGTCATCAACTTCCAGATACCACAGTTTCATCTTCATCATATAGTAAAGGCGTTATTGTTGAAGTGGAGCCATACAGACTCATGTAGCATTTGTGTTACCCCGTTGATCATGTGTGAAACAGTAAACAAGTATGATGTCGGAAACCAATGTGGAGATGTGTACCAGGGGACCTTGTGAAAGTTGTATATTAGGATTAGGATTCTGTGCCAGAAGTACATGTGAGTTTTATGCCTTACTAGACACGCTGTATGGACCAGAATACCTACAGTTATGTTCCAAGTAAAGGTTTTACTGAAACAATACAAGATAATGTTTGTGTTTTGGCTGACATACTGACAAAAACATTCCTTCAAATATAAATAGATTTTAATTTCAATAGGATTTTTTAGCCCACCTGAACTGAATGTTCTTGTAAGCTTTTGTTATTGCATATTGTCCATTGTCTATCTCTCTGTCATACATTATATAACAATCAACATCTCCACTGTCACCAAAAGGCTATGAAGATGACACGTTGTACGGAGGATCCAATCAGTGATGGGCTTTTCTCACACAACTGGTAGACATTTATTTGCCCAAACTGAAGATAATTGTATGAGATTGGACATTGCTAATGGTGAATGAGCTGCTCTGTGTGTGCAAGCACATCTCAAGTTACATCAGGAGATGATGCCATGTGATATGCAGGAAGCCTGGTTCACTGTGGAACAGCAGCTGACAGTGTATGCTTGGAGGGCATCTGTGTTGTCATCATGTGTAACTGTTAGCTGACAGTGTATGCTTGGAGGGCATCTGTGTTGTCATCATGTGTAACTGTTAGCTGACTGTGTGCTTTGAGGGCATCTGTGTTGTCATCATGTGTAACTGTTAGCTGACAGTGTATGCTTGGAGGGCATCTGTGTTGTCATGTGTAACTGTTAGCTGACAGTGTATGCTTGGAGGGCATCTGTGTTGTCATCATGTGTAACTGTTAGCTGACTGTGTGCTTTGAGGGCATCTGTGTTGTCATCATGTGTAACTGTTAGCTGACAGTGTATGCTTGGAGGGCATCTGTGTTGTCATGTGTAACTGTTAGCTGACAGTGTATGCTTGGAGGGCATCTGTGTTGTCATCATGTGTAACTGTTAGCTGACAGTGTATGCTTGGAGGGCATCTGTGTTGTCATCATGTGTAACTGTTAGCTGACTGTGTGCTTTGAGGGCATCTGTGTTGTCATCATGTGTAACTGTTAGCTGACAGTGTATGCTTGGAGGGCATCTGTGTTGTCATCATGTGTAACTGTTAGCTGACAGTGTATGCTTGGAGGGCATCTGTGTTGTCATGTGTAACTGTTAGCTGACAGTGTATGCTTGGAGGGCATCTGTGTTGTCATCATGTGTAACTGTTAGCTGACAGTGTATGCTTTGAGGGCATCTGTGTTGTCATGTGTAACTGTTAGCTGACAGTGTATGCTTGGAGGGCATCTGTGTTGTCATGTGTAACGGTTAGTTGACAGTGTATGCTTGGAGGGCATCTGTGTTGTCATCATGTGTAACTGTTAGCTGACAGTGTATGCTTGGAGGGCATCTGTGTTGTCATCATGTGTAACTGTTAGCTGACTGTGTGCTTTGAGGGCATCTGTGTTGTCATCATGTGTAACTGTTTGCTGACAGTGTATGCTTGGAGGGCATCTGTGTTGTCATGTGTAACTGTTAGCTGACAGTGTATGCTTGGAGGGCATCTGTGTTGTCATCATGTGTAACTGTTACCTGACAGTGTATGCTTGGAGGGCATCTGTGTTGTCATCATGTGTAACTGTTAGCTGACAGTGTATGCTTGGAGGGCATCTGTGTTGTCATCATGTGTAACTGTTAGCTGACAGTGTATGCTTGGAGGGCATCTGTGTTGTCATCATGTGTAACTGTTACCTGACAGTGTATGCTTGGAGGGCATCTGTGTTGTCATCATGTGTAACTGTTACCTGACAGTGTATGCTTGGAGGGCATCTGTGTTGTCATCATGTGTAACTGTTAGCTGACAGTGTATGCTTGGAGGGCATCTGTGTTGTCATCATGTGTAACTGTTACCTGACAGTGTATGCTTGGAGGGCATCTGTGTTGTCATCATGTGTAACTGTTAGCTGACTGTGTGCTTTGAGGGCATCTGTGTTGTCATCATGTGTAACTGTTAGCTGACTGGTGTGTGTGGAATCAGATCCTACCTGCACCTATAAGATCTCTCCGTCAGCTGCTATGGTACTGAAGCAAGGGCAGTGTGATATTTGAGAGCGACAATGCAGTAATGCAGATCACTGCAAATAAGAATGCTGGCATAAATATAACAGCTGACTTTATCACATCCCTTTCGTACATTTGTTGAATAGTAATTCAGAGAACTTCTTCAAAATGGCCCTGGGAGTTGCTTTTGGCACATGTCATGAAAAGGTCAAAGGTAAAGGTCATGTTTGTTTGTGGTTACAATTTCTCATGAAGTATTATGGAGTTTAAAGTACACTTCAATGTCCAAAAGTTTATCAAACGAAATCATCTACCAACTTGATATATATGAGATAATGTTTACGAAGATTGATACATCTATGTAAGTATTTTCTCGAAAATTAAGTTAGATATAACTAAAGGATTTGTAACAGTATTACAGGATCACGATGCATGTGGAGTTGTTTGTTTTCCGCCATTGCCATGATTGTGTCTGTTTCATCCAATCGATGATGTAACTGTCGAGATCGTTTTTGTTTAAAATTCATTAAAACAAAAGTTGCTATTTTTTAGAAATAAAGAAACTTGGTTGTTTTCTTTTCATCAAAGAACCAAAACTTATTATGAAATGAAATATTTACATTATAAAGAAAATATCGTACCACAATCCACTCGACATGAAGTGCCTCAAGTCAACAATGGCTGTTACGGGTGGTTGTATGCAGACACATTTGACCGATTCTTACTGGATGTTCTTGTTGAGGTACATAAACTACTTAAAGTTTTGATAATGAGAAAGCTGAGCATTTATGCATCCCATACATATCTAAATGATACGTAAAGCCTACTTGGTAAATAGTAATTGTGAGTTTGTTTTGTTTGGGGGTGTTGTAATGCTATTCGTCTGTCAAATGGGTTCGACAGTAGCATAAGCATGCTGTTAACCTGTTTATCCCTGTTAGTTTCGTCAATTTCATAACCACTATTGCCTTCAGAGTTTGTAATAAGTTGTTTATGTCAATCTTTGCCTCTTGGCCAACACTGGAGCAGACATCATAACTAGTAGCTGAAAGTTATTCCCAGATTTGTCGGCATTATTGAAAGGTAGTACAGCAAATTTGCACCCAATAAATTTTTATTCCACCATAATAATTCTTGGACTAACAACATGCAGTTGAATGTGATCTTTGAGATAGATTATTGTGAAACATGGCGGTTATCTGTTGCCAGATGCTGTGCTTTTACTTGTACAATCCTGGGACTTGGGGAATTGTTGGATCTTAATAAGTTGTTTTGTTTTTTGTATGGGAATTACACTGGTACATTAAGACTGGAAGCTATGAGGGATGAACCTGAAGCTCAAGGGAGATGTTTAACACCATGATGGTATCTTTGTAAACTACATAACACAGCCAATTAATTATATGAATCATGTTTAAGACCCTTGTTACAGCCACTTTCTCTAATTGAAGGCCCAGTTAATAGGTGTACCTGGTCAACCACACTGCTTTGGTTTAGTTTTCATACCTTAAAACAGAATCTTTTACAATATGTGGTCTGTGAAGGTGGAAATATCATTAGTTCATCTGGCCCTAAAATGCCCTAGAGTGTCACATGAGTATTTGCTGTGAGATTTTTTCATTACCATGTAAAAGGAGCTCAGAAGGCCATGAGACTGTGTGAAGGCATTATGGTTAGCATGTCATAATCACTTTCCTGCACCCTTTATACACAATTGCATCCTTGATTGTGGGTTTGAATCCCAGACTTGCCCTGCTTACAAATCTTAGATTGCCGACACCTGCCTACCAAGGTCGTACGTAAACAATTTGTATGGTATCAGATATTAACTGTATCTTTTACTAAGTTACTGTGGTTTTCATGACTGAAACTGTTTTTTTTGTACATGTTGCAACTACATTACAATATGTTGTAGTAGTGTTTGATATACTGTTCAAAAATAAATGACTGAGTTTTTTTGTATGAGAAAAGTGTAATACTCACAACATGTCAGCTTGAAAATTGGGTCGATCTGTGTAATTCCAGAAATATGGCAGAATTTGTCTTCAGTAACCCATGTTTGTCGTAAGAGGAGACTCACAGAATTTTGTGATCAGGCTCGCTGACATGGTTGATGTATGTGATGTTATCCCAATTGTGTAGATTGATGCTTATGTCAATAACTTGATTATCTGCTCCAAATTCAATTATTTACAGACCGCTGTCATACAGTTGGAAAATAGGTGAGTGTGGAGTTAAGCAGCATACACATGTGGCTGAGGCAGGCGAGGCCTTGGTGCCACCCTTTATTTGTTAGTACAGAATGTATATTTATTGATTGCCAAAACATGGGGCAATCACCCAAGTTATGTTTGATTACTGTTTAATTGTTTGGGTGTTTATTGGTTGTTGAGATGTGTGCTTCTTCTTATGTAAGCTGTGTACTGACTGTGTGCCAGTTTGTGGAGCCAGGACACAGGCCAGTGGCTGTGTACTGGAGGAGCACTCTTGTGCACCTGCTGGATCTAGCTCCCTCTGTGGGACAGCATAACACATTATGTCATTCAATAAATATGGTTTAACAAAGTTCTTGTGTCCTGTGGAATTTGTTTGGTCTTCCTCCAGTAGTTAAGAATAGGTGATCTTTCTTAATTTCTTCCCTGCACTGATCCAGCCAGTACATGTCACTATTGCACTTTTTGACAGTTAACCAGGGTTATATATAGCCTTCATCTTTATCTCTGGTGTTGAGCAGTATATATTTTTTCAACTTAAAAAATGATTTTTCTATTGTCATGTTCGATATATACTGTAAATGTTGTAATTAACACAAGCGTAAATTAAATGCGATAAATGCAAGTGGTCTTCGCTCACATTAATTAACTTCACATTTGTGTTGCCAAAACGACTATCAACAATAAGACGGCCTCACTGCACACTTTGGATAGCGGAAATACCAACTTGAATATAGACACAAACATGGTTTATTGAGCAGCAGCAACAAGTATATATTTATAACAATGTCATTCAAAGAATAGGAATTACATGATGAGCTATCACTGCTGGGGTCAAGAGTTCTACCCGCTTGCCCTCATTTCGCCTACAATAATTCAAATGCCTCACCCCTATTATATGAATGGGCATCGTCCATCTCAGGCTGTTAACTAATCCAAGCGGCATAGAGGTTCAAAGTGAAGTTTTTACAACCTATGACAACTTCTCACAACTCTTGTTTGACTTGGCCATTCTGTTAATCCTTAGTTGTTTTGAATGTACAAGTAAATCTTGTTTAGTAAATAAATCTTATTTAATAATTAAGGTCTAAAGAAGCCTATCATCGCTTCTCACATTGTTTGTAATTGTTACAAATTGGTTAGTTCTTAGTATTGGTTTAATTAAAGGAAATTAGATGTCTGCTCAATTTTTGAACTGTTATTGTTTTTTTGTTTGTCCTAGCTTGTGGCTCCAAGTGTATATTATTCATTGTCTTGTAAATGGTAAAATGTATCCTGTTGCTTTTTCGTTGCTTCCTAACAAGACCAAACAGACATATGAGTCATTATTTTTATTACTGCATAATGTAAATATCAGCTATTAAACAATGTATGAAGCTTCAAGATTGTCTTGTCTGTTTAACTGTAATGCAATTTCTTGATGCCGTTGGATATGTACTAAAGCTACAGTAATCATGAGTCATAAATATCAGCTATTAAACAATGTATGAAGCTTCAAGATTGTCTTGTCTGTTTAACCTTCTTTTGGGTCAGTTCATTATTTTAGAGGTAACACAGCACTTGACTTATGTGCAGTCAGCTGTAAAATTATTTTGATAAGGGTGTAGGCGAAATGAGGACAGGCCGTTCTACCTACTCATGTCAAGCTTGTTGACACTTTCTCTGCATGCCAATCAGTGAATGCATGGTGTTGGTTCAATTATTTTATTGCCTTTGAACTTCCTTACTGCCGGTCAACCGAGTAAACATATAAACTGTTTATTGTTTTTAAGGAAGTACTCTACTTGGTGTTAATAAGTGGTGCTGTTTGATTGGATTATGGTAAGGATATGCTTCATTCCACTGGGGATGGGGTGGGGGGAGTCACATTGATATTTAGTCACATTTTTGGCTAGGGGTCAGCAGTTGCAATAATTTGGAGACGCATTAATTTCCAGATTTACAGTATTCAATGTCGATTAGTTGAAATTGGCAATCCGTATCTGAAGTGTTATTCTTGATGTTTCAATTACATGTTTAAACTCAAAACATATATTAATTGTATATGTATCCATACATGAGTACTTTTGGATAAAGAGACAATAGGGTGCACTTGGTTCTAGACACTAGATTACCACGCCATTGCTACGTAACAGCGACAAAATAAACCCCTATCAAACATGTGGGTACTACGCGAGTCGGGTAAGGCTAGCTCTGGACAGGAATAGTTGTTTTTAATGGCATCGTGGATTGGCAATCTCCTGGGCTACAGCCAGAGGTCCGAAACTGCAAATGCCCTCAACATGTTCTTAGGCCATGTCACTCAGGTATTGGCTGGCTGAGACCAAGTCCGACCTCCAAAAACATCCTTCCATGATGGCTAAAGCTAAAATAGAACAATAACTGTGAAGAACCATTGTTGAGGCAACCGCCCGGATCTCGTGGGGCTTTATTAGATCTCTGTGGCTTGAGATTGGAAATCTTGTAAACCTGAAGGATAGTATGCAACCATAAAGAAATGGTATTGCGGTTGACGTCTGAGAAACGGGAATGAGAAACCATTTCCATGCACCATGCCTGGTTTTGGAGCAAGGGATGAAAACTTGTCATGCACTGTAAGAGTTCCTCCTCATCTTCCACCCCACAACTGACAATAGGTCAAATGAGGTGGGATGGTGAAAGAACAGTGAAGCTGTCCTGGAAGCTGTTGTTTTGCTATAATATACCAGCACAACCTGAGATACCATGCTCAAAGCATACACAGGTAATGTTGAGGGCATGAAGTTCGCTAACCCTTGCTGCTGTGGCCAGTGCCAAGAGGATTATTGTCCTATTGTTGAAGATGTTGCATGAAGAGGTCCAAATGGAGGTCCCTAAAAAAACCATTGAAGTATCACATTCAAATCCCATGCAGGGGAACAAAATTTGGCCTTCTGATCCTCAAGCCGAAAGGAGTGTAAGAGAGCTTGCAGTTCAAGTAGATGATTCTGTGATCTTCCCGAACTGCCAACACCAAATTCAAAGCTACCAAATACAATGTAGGTTGATGTTTGGTTGACCTAGGTTCTGACATGTCTTGGGGTGGAGTTTCCACTCCAAGGGCACCATTGTCCGGCCTGGATATAGCATCTGCCAGCACATTCCGACAACAGGGTATGTGCAGGACCACAGACCTGATGCATCTGCAGAGATCGAATAGGTGTCTACGAATAGGTGTGACAATGGGGACAGCTCTGTTTAGGAGACACCTCCTAATATCTGAGGTGAGGCGGTAGAGCAATGGATACAGATGTTCCTGCCACCTGATGTAAGGAGTTGGTTCAGGCGCAAGTGCAACCGACCCCTGATTGTCAAGTCCTGTGCTGATGTGAGCAGTCCCAGAAACACTTGACACTGGTGAAGTGTGATGGGCTGAAGGGCAGGAGACAGATGGCATAGAATTTCTGATGGCACTGTGAGGAGGTCCAGATCTGTCTGGAAAAGGCCTATGAATTGGAGTGTGTAGGATGGAATTGGTTTCGACTTCGCCTCATTCACTATCCAACCCAGTTGATATAGCAGACACCTGGTGAAATCCCGGTGACAGGTTAGGATCACCACATCTGGATGATTCAGTATGCAGTCGTCTATGTACAACTCAAACCAGATGTTCCTCAGGGGCAGATAGGCGGTGATTGGCTTGGTAAGGTAGATAAAATGCCAATGTGAATACCATTGAACTGGAACCTGAGGAACCGCCGGTCGCTGGGGTGGATAGGACCGTGCCGGTAAATGCCCTGCAAGACGAGGCTGATCAGGGTGTCGTAAACATAAAGTACTGAGGACGCTCCAGGTAACGCTCATTGAACAAGGTGAGGTTGTGTATCTTCCTCATCTTGTTGGAATCCTTCTTTGGTACGAGGAAGATGGGAGAGCAGAACCGCAGCATTGCACAACCTATATGGCTCTCTTCTCCATCAATCTTGCTTTTATGGCAAAGGACGAGGCCCCTATCAATCCTGCAGGGGTAACCTCCAGGGTAGGAGTGGGGACCGGAGGAGGAACCATTGACTCACGACCGGGAACTACCACCTCCAGTTGTTCATACAGTCAACACCCATGTCCATTTTGGCCCCCAACATCTGATTCCTTTCCTGTAGTAAAGCCCCGGCTTTGGTGCCATTGTCAACAGTGGGTCTGCCATCAAGTTGAGGCGGTATGTCTACCGTATATCGCTGTGTATAAGACAAGTTTTTCGTACCTAGAATTAGGGGGCTTTCAAGGGGGGTCTTATACACAGGGTTGAAGAGTTTTGATGTGTTTTTCTGCAACACAAAGAGATCACTGTGATGGTTAAGAAAAATGAAGGACTAGGTATAATATGACATAGTGGTGTGTATAAATAAGGATGGAAACATCCGAGAAAGTTTTTGAAAAACCAAATGAGACGACTTGATCAACAATCAGGCCGCCCGATTTGGCAAAAAATTGTGTAGAAGTCAAACCTCCCAATGTCCAGGTGGTACTGTCAAATGACCCTTCCATGGACAATATGCAGTGGCGTTCTGGCAGTCATAGTGACTACAGGCCAACAAATCTGTCCTGTTTGCCTTACGTTGACATTCAAATGACATTTGTTAGATGCCTATCCAGAAAGTCCAGAGTGAATCTGCACTCATCTGAGACCAGCAGCGATTCCCCCAGTTACTTAAAACACCATTGGCGTCTGGCTAGAATGTTTCGATTTGGTAGTGGTACAATATGCAGATCCAGTGACCTGGCTCAAGTGAACAGAGATTTGATTGACTATTTGGGCTCAATTTCTCAAAGCCTGGTTTCTAATTAATTGACCCTGGACTTGTGTTGTTGCCCTAGGGTGCCCTGTGCGGGGCCGATCATTAACATTTTATGTCAGACAAAACCTGTTCCCAAGTTTGCAAATCACAGACTGCGACACATTGAACATACTGGCTACCAGTTTGAAGCATGCCAGTAGCCCTTAGGTGTTCATCATGTTCTAGAAGAGTCATAGAATAAAACCCATGCTTGCCGAAAAGTCGACTAAAGGGAGTGGTGGGCAGGATCACTGACTTGGTTGTGCATAGACCGATGCTCATGATATCAGTCACTGGATTGTCTGGTCCATACTCGCCGTCATATAGCTGGAATAGCTGAGTGCGGTGTTAAGAAGTACAAAACAAAGATGACTTAAGGTTTTTTATTTTCACAATCTCACTTCAAACCCTCAGTCTCCCCACCCCCAAACACATGTAACAGACAACTACAACAGGGCATATGCGTTGCTGTTATTTTTATGGGACAACCAAGTAACTTGGGTGCACAATGAAGTTCTCCATGAAGGCTACAGATAGCTACAGTAGTGTTATGTACATGTGTAATGGCAGCACCAGATCCTGGCTATAACAATCCCTGTCGCTTCAAGTCCTCAAAGGTCTTCTTGTTCACGACATTTCCCTGTGAGTCCTCATACTCCTCCTGAAACAATGTTCAGACAGTTAACTCACACACCAGATTTACATACAAAAAAAGACTACAGTGAAACACTGTAACAGGACAGTTGTGTTCACAGTAAAACTGTCTGGTACATAAAAATGTCGATTTAATCACGTATAGATGTTCCAGCAGATGGGGGTTCCACTTCCAGACTAGCAGGGCTTCATTGTACCATAAGCTGAAGCTAATATTTGGAAACCAACCTCAGGAACAATTTATGCAGACCAGGTGACTACTGACATGCTGATAGCCAGATTGGTTATCCAACTTGTCATTCATTATCCATACGCGACATCTGATAAGATCAGGAGAATTAAGTTATCATGTGGAGTAACATGGGTTACTGACCGGGCAAGGGCGGGGATCTAGCATTCTTAAAAAGGAGGGGTCAAAAATATCAAATTCCTCTCTTGGTAAATTTTACTGCCTACAAGTACAACATACATTTGATTTTTAAAAAAAAGGGAGGGGGGGCCTCTGAATCAGCCTATGCCAGAATTTCAGTTACATTACAGTGTATCAACTTGAGGTGATGCAGGGCTGCGACGTTCACCATCTTGTTCAAATTCACAAGTTTCGGAATGGAAGATTAGAAGAATGGAAGACTCTGGATGTATCATACAGAAACCAGTACATGGCAGCAAATGGCGAGCGACTGAGTAGCAGAGAGGCGAGTGGAAGTAATACAGCTTACCTCTGTGTCAGGTCTCCATCGGTCCGATTCCTTCCCTGACTTAATCTTCTGCCACACTACAACACAACACAGTTACAACACTGGACATCTGGTATGGATTAATGGAAAACTGCATTACTTACTTTTCATAAATTTAACAATTCTGTAGAGGAGTGTGAGCAGTATCATGACATATACCACTGAAACTGGTGACATCACAACAATCTCAGCAATGCCTTTTCGAAAAATGCTAGGTTTGTCCGATATGCTTATAAGTAATGTGCATGGGAGATGACAGCTGCTTATTTGGAAGTAGGTGAAGTGATGACCATTGAACCATTTATAAGTTATAGCATCACATTTCTCAAACTGGTTACACAAGGATACAAAATATAAACACCAGTACATTCTGAAAAGATCATTATTTTATTATCATTATATTATTGACTTTGTCACACTAAGAACAATTTGTGTTACTGGCCATAACTCAGCATCAGCCCAGGCACTGACTTAACCTATCTGTCAAATATGTCAAAACCCATCAACATTTGCAAAAGTTATCACCTGGAAACTAATCCTAGACCCAAACTGACACGTCACATGTGGCCTCGGACTGTTAACATTCACCAAACCTTATTGACCATGTTCCAAATAAAGTTTAAATACATTTTACTGTTTATTTAAGTTATTACCTGGAAGCAAGGCATAACTCATTAACTGATGACAAGTCACACAGTAGAGCTAGTAAAAGGAATGACTCACATGCAAGAGCATCTTCTATCAGTGTGACATTGGCGAAATGAGCTGTGTTGGGGATGCCTAAACACCTCATGCCATGGGCATGTCTCCACTCCTGAAATACAAAACAAGGTTCACAACTTACTCAAACAGAAAGCCAAAATGTTCCCCCTGAAATTCTTGGTCCTCAAGGTAATCGGACCTAACACTAAATTCACATGTTTCCTTTGAGGGACACAATTATTAAATATTTTCAGTGTCTCAGCTTAATACCGGTTTTCAAACATGCACTGCCAATAGTGTCAGCAGGTTTAGAACTAAACTCAAATGCTTTACTAGCCCAGAAGAAGATAAAATGCCGGTGTAAATTTAAAACAATGGGGAAATTTGAAAAAGAATCTAACCTGCAGGAATGTGTACTAGCCCAGAGGTTGGGGGGCTAGTTTCAAGTTCTGACCCTGAGTAGCATTCATATTAAATGAAAAAGTTTTGATCCAAAGAATGGATATGTATGAGATCTCTCAGTATGATCATTCACATCAAGGTTCTCACTTCAACATAGCGGAGCACACTGCATATCAAGGAGGAAGAGTGTGTGTCAAGGAGGAAGAGTGCATGTCAAGGTGGAAGAGTGTGTGTCAAGGTGGAAGAGTGTGTGTCAAGGTGGAAGAATGTGTGTCAAGGTGGAAGACTGTGTGTCAAGGAGGAAGAGTGTGTGTCAAGGTGGAAGAGTGTGTGTCAAGGTGGAAGAGTGTGTATCAAGGAGGAACAGTGCATGTCAAGGTGGAAAAGTGCATGTCAAGGTGGAAGAGTGCGTGTCAAGGTGGAAGAGTGCGTGTCAAGGTGGAAGAGTGCGTGTCAAGGTGGAAGAGTGCATGTCAAGGTGGAAGAGTGCGTGTCAAGGTAGAAGAGCGTGTGTCAAGGTGGAAGAGTGCATGTCAAGGTGGAAGAGTGTGTGTGTCAAAGTAGAAGAGTGTGTGTCAAGGTGGAAGAGTGTGTCAAGGTGGGAGAGAGTGTGTGTCAAAGTAGAAGAGCGTGTGTCAAGGTGGAAGAGTGCATGTGAAGGTGGAAGAGTATGTGTCAAGGTGGAAGAGTGCATGTCAAGGTGGAAGAGTGCATGTCAAGGTGAAAGAGTGCATGTCAAGTTGGAAGAGTGTGTGTGTCAAAGTAGAAGAGCGTGTGTCAAGGTGGGAGAGTGCATGTCAAGGTGGGAGAGAGTGTGTGTCAAAGTAGAAGAGCGTGTGTCAAGGTGGGAGAGTGCATGTCAAGGTGGGAGAGTGCATGTCAAGGTGGGGGAGCGTGTGTCAAGGTGGAAGAGTGTGTGTCAAGGTGGAAGAGTGTGTGTCAAGGTAGAAGAGTGTGTGTCAAGGTGGAAGAGTGTGTGTCAAGGTGGAAGAGTGTGTGTCAAGGTGGGGGAGTGCATGTCAAGGTGGGGGAGTGCGTGTCAAGGTGGAAGAGTGTGTGTCAAGGTGGAAGAGTGTGTGTCAAGGTGGAAGAGTATGTGTCAAGGAGGAAGAGTGTGTGTCAAGGTGGAAGAGTGTGTGTCAAGGTGGAAGAGTGTCTCAAGGTGGAAGAGTGTGTGTCAAGGTAGAAGAGGGTGTGTCAAGGAGGAAGAGTGTGTGTCAAGGTGGAAGAGTGCATGTCAAGGTGGAAGAGGGTGTGTCAAGGTGGAAGAGTGTGTGTCAAGGTAGAAGAGTGCATGTCAAGGTGGAAGAGTGTGTGTCAAAGAGGAAGAGTGTGTGTCAAGGTGGAAGAGTGTCTGTCAAGGTGGAAGAGTGTGTGTGTCAAAGTAGAAGAGTGTGTGTCAAGGTGGAAGAGTGTGTCAAGGTGGAAGAGTGCATGTCAAGGTGGGAGAGAGTGTGTGTCAAAGTAGAAGAGTGTGTGTCAAGGTGGAAGAGTGCATGTGAAGGTGGAAGAGGGCATGTGAAGGTGGAAGAGTGTGTGTCAAGGTGGAAGAGTGCATGTCAAGGTGGAAGAGTGCATGTCAAGGTGGGAGAGTGCATGTCAAGGTGGGAGAGTGCATGTCAAGGTGGAAGAGTGTGTGTCAAGGTGGAAGAGTGTGTGTCAAGGTAGAAGAGTGTGTGTCAAGGTGGAACAGTGTGTGTCAAGGTGGAAGAGTGTGTGTCAAGGTGAAAGAGTGTGTGTCAAGGAGGAAGAGTGTGTGTCAAGGTGGAACAGTGTGTGTCAAGGTGGAAGAGTGTCTCAAGGTGGAAGAGTGCATGTCAAGGTGGAAGAGTGTTTGTCAAGGTTGAAGAGTGTTTGTCAAGGTGGAAGAGTGTGTGTCAAGGTGGAAGACTGTGTGTCAAGGAGGAAGAGTGTGTGTCAAGGTGGAAGAGTGTGTGTCAAGGTGGAAGAGTGTGTATCAAGGAGGAACAGTGCATGTCAAGGTGGAAAAGTGCATGTCAAGGTCGAAGAGTGCATGTCAAGGTGGAAGAGTGCGTGTCAAGGTGGAAGAGTGCATGTCAAGGTGGAAGAGCGCGTGTCAAGGTGGAAGAGTGCATGTCAAGGAGTGCGTGTCAAGGTGGAAGAGTGTGTCAAGGTGGAAGAGTGTGTGAAGGTGGAAGAGTGCATGTCAAGGTGGAAGAGTGTGTGTGTCAAGGTGGAAGAGTGTGTGTGTCAAGGTAGAAGAGTGTGTGTCAAGGAGGAAGAGTGCATGTCAAGGTGGAAGAGTGTGTCAAGGTGGGAGAGCGTGTGTCAAGGTGAAAAGTGTGTGTGTCAAGGTGGAAAAGTGTGTGTCAAAGTGGAAGAGTGCATGTCAAGGTGGGAGAGTGTGTTTCAAGGTGGAAGAGTGTGTGTCAAGTTTGGGGAGTGTGTGGTGAAAGAGTGTGTGTCAAGGTGGAAGATTGTGTCAAGGAGGAAGAGTGTGTGTCAAGGTGGAAGAGTACATGTCAAGGTGGAAGAGTGCATGTCAAGGTGGAAGAGTGCGTGTCAAGGTGGAAGAGTGCGTGTCAAGGTGGAAGAGTGCATGTCAAGGTGGAACAGTGCGTGTCAAGGTGGAAGAGTGCATGTCAAGGTGGAAGAGCGTGTGTCAAGGTGGAAGAGTGTGTGTCAAGGTGGAGGAGAGTGTGTCAAGGTGGAGGAGAGTGTGTCAAGTGTCAAGGTGGAGGAGAGTGTGTCAAGGTGGGAGAGTGTGTCAAGGTTGAAGAGTGTGTGTCAAGGTGGGGGAGTGTGTGGTGAAAGAGGGTGTGTCAAGGTGGAAGAGTACATGTCAAGGTGGAAGAGTGCATGTCAAGGTGGGAGAGTGCATGTCTAGGTGGAGGAGAGTGTGTCAAGGTGGGAGAGTGTGTGTCAAGGTGGAAGAGTGTGTGTCAAGGTGGGGGAGTGTGTGGTGAAAGAGTGTGTGTGAAGGTGGAAGAGTGCATGTCAAGGTAGAAGAGTGTGTGTCAAGGAGGAAGAGTGGATGTCAAGGTGGAAGAGTGCGTGTCAAGGTGGAAGAGTGTGTGTGTCAAGGAGGAAGAGTGCATGTCAAGGTGGAAGAGTGTGTGTGTCAAGGTGGAAGAGCGCAGGTCAAGGTGGAAGAGTGCGTGTCAAGGTGGAAGAGTGTGTGTCAAGGTGGGAGAGTGCATGTCAAGGTGGAAGAGTGTGTGTCAAGGAGGAAGAGTGCATGTGAAGGTGGAAGAGTGTGTGTGTCAAGGTGGAAGAGTGTGTGTGTCAAGGTGGAAGAGAGTGTGTCAAGGAGGAAGAGTGCATGTCAAGGTGGAAGAGTGTCTGTGAAGATGGAAGAGTGCGTGTCAAGGTGGAAGAGTGCGTGTCAAGGTGGAAGAGTGTGTGTCAAGGAGGAAGAGTGCATGTCAAGGTTGAAGAGCGCGTGTCAAGGTGGAAGAGTGTGTGTGTCAAGGTGGAAGAGCGTGTGTCAAGGTGGAAGAGTGTGTGTCAAGGTGGAAGAGTGTGTGTCAAGCTGGAAGAGAGCGTGTCAAGGTGGAAGAGTGTGTGTCATGGTGGAAGAGCGCATGTCAAGGTGGAAGAGTGCATGTCAAGGTGGAAGAGTGTGTGTGTCAAGGTGAGGTGAGGTGAGGTGAAATTGGGTTTAACGTCGCGTCCAAGATTATTGCACTTATATAGCGACGTGCATGCACGTGTATGTGTGTGTGTGGCTGCTTGTACCAGTCCGGACTGATGCCGATTTATAGTGCTAGCTCACTGAGATACCATGCCGCAGTTTAACATGAATACCTCACTCAGACACAGTATACTGACTCCGAGCCGACCAGTCCTTGTTTTAGCCCCTTAATGCCGAGCGCCAGACAGGGTAACAACAAGTACAATCTTTTAACGTCTTTTTGTATGACGCGGCCCGGGATCGAACCCTGGACCTTCCGCTCTCCGGGCGGACGCTCTACCACAAGACCACGGAGGCGGTCGTGTGTGTCAAGGAGGAAGAGTGTGTGTGTGAAGGGGGAGAGTGTGTGTCAGGGTGGAAGAGTGTGTCAAGGTGGGAGAGCGTGTGTCAAGGTGAAAAAGTGTGTGTGTCAAGGTGGAAAAGTGTGTGTCAAAGTGGAAGAGTGCATGTCAAGGTGGGAGAATGTGTGTCAAGGTGGAAGAGTGTGTGTCAAGTTTGGGGAGAGTGTGGTGAAAGAGTGTGTGTCAAGGTGGAAGAGTACATGTCAAGGTGGAAGAGTGGATGTCAACGTGGGAGAGTGTGTCAAGGTGGAGGAGAGTGTGTCAAGGTGGGAGAGTGTGTGGCAAGGTGGAAGAGTGTGTGTCAAGGTGGAAGAGTGTGTGTCAAGGTGGAAAGGTGTGTCAAGGTGGAAGAGCGCATGTCAAGGTGGAAGAGTGCGTGTCAAGGTGGAAGAGTGTGTGTCAAGGTGGGAGAGTGTGTCAAGGTGGAAGAGTGTGTCAAGGTGGAAGAGTGCATGTCAAGGTGGAAGAGTGCATGTCAAGGTGCAAGAGTGTGTGTGTCAAGGTGGAAGAGTGTGTGTGTCAAGGTGGAAGAGAGTGTGTCAAGGAGGAAGAGTGCATGTCAAGGTGGAAGAGTGTCTGTGAAGATGGAAGAGCGCGTGTCAAGGTGGAAGAGTGCGTGTCAAGGTGGAAGAGTGCATGTCAAGGTGGAAGAGTGTGTGTCAAGGAGGAAGAGTGCATGTCAAGGTTGAAGAGCGCGTGTCAAGGTGGAAGAGTGTGTGTGTCAAGGTGGAAGAGCGTGTGCCAAGGTGGAAGAGTGTGTGTCAAGGTGGAAGAGTGTGTGTCAAGCTGGAAGAGAGCGTGTCAAGGTGGAAGAGTGTGTGTCATGGTGGAAGAGAGTGTGTCAAGGTGGAAAGGTGTGTCAAGGTGGAAGAGCGCATGTCAAGGTGGAAGAGTGCGTGTCAAGGTGGAAGAGTGTGTGTCAAGGTGGGAGAGTGTGTCAAGGTGGAAGAGTGTGTCAAGGTGGAAGAGTGCATGTCAAGGTGGAAGAGTGTGTGTCAAGGTGGAAGAGTGTGTGGCAAGGTGGAAGAGTGTGTGTCAAGGTGGAAGAGTGTGTGTCAAGGTGGAAAGGTGTGTCAAGGTGGAAGAGCGCATGTCAAGGTGGAAGAGTGCGTGTCAAGGTGGAAGAGTGTGTGTCAAGGTGGGAGAGTGTGTCAAGGTGGAAGAGTGTGTCAAGGTGGAAGAGTGCATGTCAAGGTGGAAGAGTGTGTGTCAAGGTGGAAGAGTGTGTGGCAAGGTGGAAGAGTGTGTGTCAAGGTGGAAGAGTGTGTGTCAAGGTGGAAAGGTGTGTCAAGGTGGAAGAGCGCATGTCAAGGTGGAAGAGTGCGTGTCAAGGTGGAAGAGTGTGTGTCAAGGTGGGAGAGTGTGTCAAGGTGGAAGAGTGTGTCAAGGTGGAAGAGTGCATGTCAAGGTGGAAGAGTGTGAGTGTCAAAGGTAGAAGAGTGTGTGTCAAGGTGAAAGAGTACGTGTCAAGGTGGAAGAGTGTGTGTCAAGGTGGAAGAGCGTGTGAAGGTTGAAGAGTGCATGTCAAGGTGGAAGAGTGTGTGTGTCAAGGTAGAAGAGTGTGTGTCAAGGAGGAAGAGTGCATGTCAAGGTGGAAGAGTGTGTGTGAAGGTGGAGTGAGTGAGTATTGCTTTACACCGCTTTTAGCAATATTCCAGCAATATCACGGCGGGGGACACCAGAAATGGGCTTCACACATTGTACCCATGTCGGGAATCGAACCCGGGTCTTAGGCGCGACGAGCGAACGCTTTAACCACTAGGCTACCCGACCGCCCCCTGTGTCAAGGTGAAAAAGTGTGTGTGTCAAGGTGGAAAAGTGTGTGTCAAAGTGGAAGAGTGCATGTCAAGGTGGGAGAATGTGTGTCAAGGTGGAAGAGTTTGTGTCAAGTTTGGGGAGAGTGTGGTGAAAGAGTGTGTGTCAAGGTGGAAGAGTACATGTCAAGGTGGAAGAGTGGATGTCAACGTGGGAGAGTGTGTCAAGGTGGAGGAGAGTGTGTCAAGGTGGGAGAGTGTGTGGCAAGGTGGAAGAGTGTGTGTCAAGGTGGAAGAGTGTGTGTCAAGGTGGAAAGGTGTGTCAAGGTGGAAGAGCGCATGTCAAGGTGGAAGAGTGCGTGTCAAGGTGGAAGAGTGTGTGTCAAGGTGGGAGAGTGTGTCAAGGTGGAAGAGTGTGTCAAGGTGGAAGAGTGCATGTCAAGGTGGAAGAGTGTGTGTGTCAAGGTGGAAGAGTGTGTGTGTCAAGGTGGAAGAGAGTGTGTCAAGGAGGAAGAGTGCATGTCAAGGTGGAAGAGTGTCTGTGAAGATGGAAGAGTGCGTGTCAAGGTGGAAGAGTGCGTGTCAAGGTGGAAGAGTGCATGTCAAGGTGGAAGAGTGTGTGTCAAGGAGGAAGAGTGCATGTCAAGGTTGAAGAGCGCGTGTCAAGGTGGAAGAGTGTGTGTGTCAAGGTGGAAGAGCGTGTGTCAAGGTGGAAGAGTGTGTGTCAAGGTGGAAGAGTGTGTGTCAAGCTGGAAGAGAGCGTGTCAAGGTGGAAGAGTGTGTGTCATGGTGGAAGAGAGTGTGTCAAGGTGGGAGAGTGTGTGGCAAGGTGGAAGAGTGTGTGTCAAGGTGGAAAGGTGTGTCAAGGTGGAAGAGCGCATGTCAAGGTGGAAGAGTGCGTGTCAAGGTGGAAGAGTGTGTGTCAAGGTGGGAGAGTGTGTCAAGGTGGAAGAGTGTGTCAAGGTGGAAGAGTGCATGTCAAGGTGGAAGAGTGTGTGTCAAGGTGGAAGAGTGTGTGGCAAGGTGGAAGAGTGTGTGTCAAGGTGGAAGAGTGGGTGTCAAGGTGGAAAGGTGTGTCAAGGTGGAAGAGCGCATGTCAAGGTGGAAGAGTGCGTGTCAAGGTGGAAGAGTGTGTGTCAAGGTGGGAGAGTGTGTCAAGGTGGAAGAGTGTGTCAAGGTGGAAGAGCACATGTCAAGGTGGAAGAGTGCATGTCAAGGTGGAAGAGTGTGTGTGTCAAGGAGGAAGAGTGTGTGTGTGAAGGGGGGAGAGTGTGTGTCAGGGTGGAAGAGTGTGTCAAGGTGGGAGAGCGTGTGTCAAGGTGAAAAAGTGTGTGTGTCAAGGTGGAAAAGTGTGTGTCAAAGTGGAAGAGTGCATGTCAAGGTGGGAGAGTGTGTGTCAAGGTGGAAGAGTGTGTGTCAAGTTTGGGGAGCGTGTGGTGAAAGAGTGTGTGTCAAGGTGGAAGAGTGTGTCAAGGAGGAAGAGTGTGTGTCAAGGTGGAAGAGTACATGTCAAGGTGGAAGAGTGCATGTCAAGGTGGGAGAGTGTGTCAAGGTGGAGGAGAGTGTGTCAAGGTGGGAGAGTGTGTGTCAAGGTGGAAGAGTGTGTGTCAAGGGGGGGGAGTGTGTGGTGAAAGAGTGTGTGTCAAGGTGGAAGAGTGTGTGTCAAGGTGGAAGAGTGTGTGTCAAGGTGGAAAGGTGTGTGTCAAGGTAGAAGAGTACATGTCAAGGTGGAAGAGTGCATGTCAAGGTGGGAGAGTGCATGTCTAGGTGGAGGGAGAGTGTGTCAAGGTGGGAGAGTGTGTGTCAAGGTGGAAGAGTGTGTGTCAAGGTGGAAGAGTGTGTGTGTCAAGGTGGAAGAGTACATGTAAGGTGGAAGAGTGTGTGTGTCAAGGAGGAAGAGTGCATGTCAAGGCGAAAGAGTGTGTGTGTCAAGGAGAAAGAGTTCGTGTCAAGGTGGAAGAGTGCATGTCAAGGTGGAAGAGTGCATGTCAAGGTGAAAAGTGTGTGTGTCAAGGTGGAAGAGTTCGTGTCAAGGTGGAAGAGTTCATGTCAAGGTGGAAGAATGTGTTTCAAGGTGGAAGAATGTGTGTCAACGTGGAACAGTGCGTGTCAAGGTAGAAGAGGCGTGTCAAGGTGGAAGAGTGCATGTCAAGGTGGAAGAGTGCATGTCAAGGTGGAAGAATGTGTTTCAAGGTGGAAGAGTGTGTGTCAACGTGGAACAGTGCATGTCAAGGTGGAAGAGGCGTGTCAAGGTGGAACAGTGCATGTCAAGGTGGAAGAGTGTGTGTAAAACTCACTGCAAAGTGCCTCTGGTATGCCTTGGGTCCTCTGTAGGGGAAGTTGCCGCAGATTTCACAGGTGTAGCTGATGTTCAGGCCATGAAGCTTGTACAACCAGTATGGAATAGGCTGCAAGGACAGTAATAGATCATCCATTGTTTCTACAAAAACTAAGAATGTACTCTGGACTATCTTATGTATTGTGTACAGAAATTCCCTGTCTGTCTTATCTGGGGCTTCAGTCACTGCCTAGATGAATATCAGACCAACCAAAGAAAATCAGTAGAGAGCTACCACAACCATGGAATATGTACACACTTTCAATATTGAAATAGCCACACAATTAGAAAACAAATGATAAAGTCTGCATCGTAATGATAAAAACCCAGCAAATTTCAGTGGAACCAAACAATAAATCTAGAAGACCACAGCAAACTGACTCCACATGTGCAGATATGTTACGGAACTCACTGGCTGTCAACAAGCGTCTAGAAGGAACAAATGCAGTGAGTGTTGTTTTCTGTCATTTATTCCAAATACAACATCCGTCTAAAAATTATATGTCTTGTGTGGTACGGTTTTGTTCATAAAATATAGACGGGTGTTGACAGCCAGCGAGTTCCTTAACAGATCTATGAAACCTATATCTTGTCCCAATCAGTTTTCCTCAAATGGCAAGTGATAGAAAACACATGTCTGAGAAGCTTAAGCCAAAATTAGATGAGAAGTAGTGAACCCATTTATGAGCACGTGCTGGCCTCATGATGGCATCTCATGGCACTGTCAAATGTTTGATATAGTCATCTAAAAGCATGGTCTCACATTGTAAGTTGTCGTACCTTGCCATCCCAGCCAAGAGGGAGGTTTTTGGGGTTGTACGGGATATCTTCCTCATCATCATCAGAATCATCAGAGAACTCCTCTTCATCTGACTCCTCCCTTTCCTCCCCAGTGCGGGCCTGCTTACGCTGCACATTGTCCCGTGTAGCTGCCCGCTGCTCACTAAGTATCTCTGCAAACCGGTAGACCTGGGCCTCTAGGGCAGCTATCTCTCTTTGGCGTTCAGAATCCCTACAATACAAGCAACAAGTTCCATACCTAGTCCTGTGTCAGTTGATCAGCATTTGTTGAAAGAAATAAACAATTGGTTTACGCTGCTATTTCATTTTGTTCTTGTAGAGTGAAACAATGTGATATTTGGGTGGTCAGAATTTTGGAGTTGTGCTTTAAAAAGCAAAAGAATAGCTCTGACATACTGTTGATCACCTGATACATCAAGGAAGGAAAATGTGGCTGTTACATGGCTGTGTTATGTGGTCTGTTTCATGTGAGAGGACAGTGTGATATCAATATAATATTATCATTATTACAATATCAAGACCGTCCTCACTAAATTTCTCAGCAATTTATATCTCGAAAAGGCCTGAGCTACTACCTTTTTAAGACACTGATTTGCATTATCTTAACTACTATTTTGATTATGATAACAATTATCCTAGTAATTTGTCCTGGTCCCCCATCATCAATTCTGACTCTATTGCTGAAAAACAAGAGCGATATCATATTTATTTGTAAACAATGAAAATAGTACCTACCTTTATATTTTCATGCTTATCCTTAAATGACACACACAGATACTGTTTTATTTTTTGGCCTCATCATGCCGAGTAACCTACCTATTATATGATAAATTACCGTATTCGACAGAATAAGCGCCCTTTCTTACACTGTTTAAGTTTAATATATTTTATCAATTTTATTCAAAAATTCATTCAAGAATGTTTACATAATAATTTCGGCGAAATTGTGTCCCATTCCATGGAACCTGCTTTACCACATTCCGCGACAGCACCAACTCATATTTATCAATGCAACAATGATCTTATTTTCTTCTGTTTCATTTTTTTATGAGTCTATACATCAAGATAAACATTTGTCATGGTTAATTTTCAGAGAGAAAATATCTTAAAACTCGAAGAATTATTTCCATTTGAGTAGTTTTCATTTGTTTAGATCATGTGCTGTCATCAAAGCCATACGGAGAGGTAGCAATACTGTCACTTTGATGCATAAATGTATATTGTCATGCACCTCACAGTCATAGTTTTAGTAGCAAATAATTACTCAAAACAATATGTAAAGCGTAAGTCTGTTCTGATGTCAGTGTTTGTTTAAAAACGAGAGAAAAGTCCGGTCACATGATATGCAAATTAGCCTGTGGCAGTGCTGTTATGCGAAGTAATGTTACTTCTGAAAACTATGATTAATTAAAAACTAGATGTACCTTTTCGGATATTTATATTTATAAATTAATCTCGGGTAGGGGTTGTAGTATTTTCATTCACAAGCTGTATATATCGATTGTTAAACTGGTGACCTATCTTGATCCAGCACCATAGCCGACACAATAACAACAATTGAACACGTTTTAAGAAAAGAATATTAAAGTTGATTTTACAACAAAAAAAGTTGCTAAAAAAAAAGTGGTTATAAACATTATATACATCCTCATTCTCACTGAAAAAAAAGGTAAGTAATATAAGGTAATATTTGAAAAACACAAAGCAGACGTTTATATTTTATTTTTCAACTTTACCTGCTGATTACCGGTACTTCCTGTTTGGAACAATGGGCGTTGACGATCATTTTTACTCATCGTTAATGTGGAGTTAAGTTATCACAAATACATGAATATGTTAGTTCCTACGTGCAAGGATGCAGGTACTATTATTTGTGAGAGACATATATATCTAAAGGGGGACAATACTGAGAGTTGGCGTTTTCTGCATTCGCCAAACCACGAAATTTACGATCTTACAATTATGTTTTCTTTCACCAAAATTATATTCCAATAAGCGCCCCCTATTTCTTAATTTGAGAGCACCCTGAGTGCTTATCAAGTAAGTTCATGGATCACAATTCATAAAAAATTGTGGACATAGGCTCTTTTTATGCTGAGTGAGCTCGTCTTTGATGTCATCCAATTATATGTCAAGCGTATTACGCGTCTCCGTTACCAGGCATCTGTTTGAATGCACAACAAGCATGGACTGCTTCCCACTGTTCTTTAAATGTAATTAATACAGCATAATATTTCAATGATGATCATTCACACTGTACTATACCTGTTCTTGCCAGCCTTCCCTGGTTTGGATTTGGCAAATAATGAAGGGTCAAGGTCCTCAAGATTCTTGCCCTTGGTATTGAACAACCGTTGTGCTCGCTCCTCCAGTGTGCTGCAACATGGATGATGTTACCCATCATTATACATCATTATACATGCAAGCATCAACATCAGGAAGTTGCACTGCTTGCTCATCTACCAGGATATGTTCTTTAAAAAGTTTCATCACTCATGCTCATCAGTATGTCATTAATTATTTTAAATGTGAAAGGTTGGTCGAACAAGAAAAGTGTTTACATTACATGCAAAAACAGAAGCATCCCCATCCCCATCTTTCCCTGAATGCCCTAAAACTTTCCCAACAGAAACATCTATCGTCTGGACTTCATGAAATCACTCTGTAGTCATCTTCGGTCTCTAGTGTTGTCTATTGCAGTAACATAGTCCTGTGCCTCTAGCTACCCCAATAACAAAATCATAAGCACTTCTGGTTCACTGACATCACTATGTCTGGCAAAACCCATGCCCAATTCAGCACCAACATAAAGTCCTGTATGTCTAGCTGCCATAGTCAATACAATTTAATATTTCACATATTTCTCCCAGCTTTTCCATACAAGGTCAGTCGAAATAAAAATAAATATAAAAATTAATAGCAACATCAATTTTTTATTTATTTATTTATTTAACGAGTCTTGTGCAATGCATGGTCGTTAGGGTAATTGACAAAAAAAAAAACAACTAAAAAATCCATTATCGTGAAAGGTTGGAGGGTGCGGGTTACCACAAGGAGGATGCCCACACCTGTAAGAACAACAAGGGAGAAGAGTGGATTAAATGGCCAAGGGTGTGCAGATGCTAGAGGGCTACCATCCTACTAGTAAATTAAACAATACTGTATACACAATAACTGCTGCCCAGCCCTGGTAGCATAAGTGGCAACTATTATTGCTGGACAAACTGGCAACTACGGCTGCCTGACCAATTTTTTTGTTTGTTTTATACTTTTGATTTCCCCTTTTCCCCGTTACATGAGGAGGATGGCCATCCAGGGCCATGGTCACCCTCACATTCTGAAGACAATGTATCTATACATTTGGGAAAATTAAATACAAGTATTGGAAATGGTGCCAAGGTGATTTTTAGGAAATATAACAAAACATACACACAGTCAAGCATTCAAAATATTATTCAAACACTGATCCTGGCAAGAAACAAATATGAGAAAGAGATACATACGTTTGTTTTGGTTCTGCTTCTTCAAACAATATGTGATAAAAGATCCATGATTTATTTAATATACGCTTGAAAATTGAATTGGAATATTATTTGTATTAAGCCTTCTGAAGCAACGCAAGAGGTGAAATTGCGTTGGTTTCAGTATCGAATCATACATAGAATACTTGCAACTAATTTTTTTTTGTTTAAAATGAATATTTCTGATACCATGCTTTGTTCTTTTTGCAAACGTTATGATGAAACTATTGTACACCTTTTTTGGGAATGTGAACTTGTACAAGTATTTTGGAAAACCTTCTTAGATTGTATAAATAAATGTAACCATATACATCATATGAAATTAAGTGCTGAACTTGTATTATTTGGTGTTAAAGAAAATATTGTTACTGACAAAGTTTTTGATCTTCTTATTTTAATAGCGAAATCTTTTATATATTTCTGTAGATTCAAAAAAACAAATCTTTGCTTCGCAATATTTCAAAAAGATGTTTGTCTGAGATACAAAATTGAGTGAGTGAGTGAGTGAGTGAGTGAGTGAGTGAGTGAGTGAGCGAGCGAGTTGGGTTTAACGCCGCTTTTAACATTATTTCAGTTATATCACGGCGTGTCAGCTTAATGTAGGAGGAAAGCCCGAAGTGATGCAGGTCTAAGACGTTTACCACTTCGGTGAAACCCACGAGCACGGGTATGGTGCTGACAAACCTAGAAACATAATTGGGGCGAACCGGGATTCGAACCCACAATCATAGGTTTCTGGCGTGCCCAAGGGACGCAACTCTGCACAGCGAATCGCGGCACCTTAGACGACTAGGCCACCCGAGCCCCCTACAAAATTGAGAAGAATATAGCCTTTACAAATGCCTGACCAAATTAACAACTAGAATAGAGAAAACAAGAAAACAGTGTTATCACCAGGGGGCAAATTAGAATTTTGTTAGTTCATATAGTTGTAAATAATATCACGTCATTGTTGAAGAGCATGGAGTAAGGGCCTTAACTGTGTTGAAATACATGTAGCAAAGGACTAACCCTGGAAAATATAATTATGGCACCATTTTGTTAACTCAGTCTTGTTATTTTTTAGAAAATCTTGCAAATGTAATTCATGTAACTTCAGTAGTTTCTGTGAGAACTTGTCCCCATTGCAGACACCATGCACTAAGTAAAACAAGAAAACACAAAAATATTAATTTTAAGAAATACCAAAACATCAAAAGGCACCAGTTCAGCATGTGTTTGATACATATGCAAGTTTCATAATAAAATATTAAACGGTTTCCGAGTTATTGAGATGTGGTGAAGGTAGTGAAAGGCGAAAACTGTGCCCTACTTCCAGAATCACCCTCTCATGATGGTGGAGAGGGTGCAGTTACTGTGTTAGGCCATAGTGGGGGCAACCGCTCGGATCTCGTGTGAGTTGGGCATTGCGGGTAGTATAAGTGTAATAACGAGGATACTCCCACTGACTGTATTTTCCATGTTGGTGATGGTTATCCACAACTGGTGACCGATCTCTGTAATAGGTCGAGTGCGATAGGTGGGTCCTTAGACTAGTAATGCAGGATAAGTATACAAATGTAAAAAATATTTAGATTTTACTAAATTCTTTACTTATCCTGCATTACTCCTTAATGCATCTGTATCGGGAGGGTATACCTTCAGATGTCCAAAACCTCAATAATTCACACCCCAAAAGGAAACACATTAACTGTAAGGCGTTACCGAGCCTAAGCTGATAAAGCTTGAAACAAATCATCCCACTGTGCGTGTTTTAGACAAAACTCTGGGTAGGATGAGTTCATAATTTGTGTCGGGGGTTGGTTACTACCAGAGGGCAAAAACTAGGAACTCCTTCGACATCTTCGAGAGCCACATTGCGAAGATAATGACTTGCGAAAACTGTGTCGGACCTCCAAAAACATTCTTCCATGATAGCTCTGATAGAACAGTTACTATGTAGAGCTGAGCCATGGTAAAGGCTACTGCCCTGATCTCATGAGGGGTGTTCGCTCTTGGCAGATCAAGTTTGGCTATCTTGTAAGCCTGTGGGATGACTGTGCATAACCATAGAGATTTGGTGTTGCGCCTTACTTTGGTCCTGGATGTACGGAATACCGGAATGAATAACCGTTTCCATGATCCACACCTAGTTTTGGAGCGGCGGACGAAAACTTGCAGTGCGCACACAGGGAACAAGAGGAGTTCATCCTCATCTTCAACTCCCACAATCATCAAAATTGGTGGAATAGTGAAGGAACGATTTGGTTGGCCTGGTACAGACAAGTCCTGTTAATCCGACATTGTTGGTTACATATGATTATGTCGGATTAACGAGTATGTCGGATAGACGAAATTAGGTAGTATCAACGTTCGTGATCGAAAATCAGACAAACTACACAATAGATAACGATTCAAACACGTAATAAAACAAAAGGAAAAAGGTAATATTTATATTGTTGTGTTATATTGTTGGCAGAAAACATTTTCTAATCATGCAACCTCTAAAGTTAACACAAAACTACTGTTACAAACTGTATGACTGATTCAAAATACATTTTAGAAAAAAAAGCATAGTCTGGAATTGAAGTCGCCAATGTTTAAGAAAGCTGCTTTCTTAGTGGCTAATGTCGATTTCCTGTTAGTAATTTCATTGGTCGGTCAGTTTGCAAAAAGTCGTTCTGACGTGACGTGTAATGGGATGTCCTCAGCGGTTGCGAGAACTTGTATCCGATTTTAATGAGATTGAGGTAATCTAGGCATGTGAATAATCCTGTTTTGTTTATTTAAAGCAGTAATTGTATATTGTTAAGCAAGTTTATCTCTGCAGCCATTGAAATATGCAGCTACTCGACGACTCGTTTCGCATCAAAACACGGGGCTGTGTATTCGCGGGCATATGACCACAGAGTTTGCTGATCACTGTGTCGGATTAACGAGACTGATATATAAGTGATTTCATCAATTCGTTGCAAATTAGGTGTGTTGGAGTCAGAGTGCGAGACTGTCGGATTAACGGGTCTAAATAGTACTGATTTAATCGGTTCCCATCATTAGTGTCGGATAAAGCCGATTGTCAGGTTAACGAGTGTCAGATTAACGAGACTTGACTATAGTTGATTTTTGGGCTATAAAATCCCAGCACAACCTGAGTTATCATACTTCCATGTCCGAATGAAGAGATCTGATTGAGCCATGTGATCTTGTAACAATACTGTGTGACCCGCCTTGGAGGGTAATAAAATTCTTATACCCTGCACATGCATTTCTGAGAGACAGAATTAATCCTTTATACCCTGCTTCAAAGCAAAAAGCCACACATTTTTTTCCAAGCCAAAGGATGTCGCGTGACATAGAGCAAGCTTACTTCAGCTCAATGGGGCAGCTGTTTTCTATTAATTTGGAATTTATTTGAATTATTTTACAATGTCACATTAAAACATGTAGGTAAAATCAAATCATTGAAGCAGGATCATTTGGGGTACATGGGGCATGTTTAATGTGTCCCTCATATAGTGGTATAAAACCTAACGCGGAACACATAAAAACCCATGTACCCCTCGTGATCTTGCTACAACTTAAAATGTACCGCTCCCTGCATACCATGCTCAAATGGTGATGTCAAGGTATTGTAACTCGCTCACCCGTGCCGCCGTGGCTAAAGCCAAGAGAAATATTGTTTTCTTGGTGAGGTCATAAAATGAGGATGCGTTAAGGGGCTTGAAGGGGGGCGTATGCAAACCACAAAGTACCGCATTCAAATTCCACACAGGGGGATGGAAATTGGCATTCTGACCCTTAAGTCTAAAGGAGCGTAGTAGGGCCTGTAGTTCCGGGGCCTTCGTCATATTGTGATTTCCCAGAATGGCAACCACTGATTTGTAACTTCGCACACCTTTGATGTCCTCGAGAGCCACATCGTGAAGATAATGACTAGCGAAAACTGTGTCGGACCTAAAAAACTTCCTTCCATGAACGTTTTAATAGAACAGTTACTATGTAACGCCATGGTAAAGCAGATCTGCGTGCTAGCCAAACATGTGGATGAGGATCTTTGGAAGATTTTTTTCCACAACATTTAGTACAACGCGCAAGCATAAGTTATGCAAATAAAGAATTGTCGATAGAAATGGAGATTGCTATAGAATTACAAAATATTCTGCCGGCAAATAATTTTACGTGTTGAAAGTGTATACAAACTCTATGTAATACCAAAGCTACTAGTATTTAAAAACACATGAATATGTTATACATTGTAAACAATTTGACTACCTATGCAGGTGAACAATTGTACCGGAAATTCAATATGGTGGGAAACAATGAGCCACATGATTGGAAAAAGACAAAGTCCTTTATGCCAAAATCACCCACATAAAACTACACAAATTCGTGAAAGTAATATGAAAAGAATACATCACCCATCGCAGATAAAATTTAGAATTACAACCAAAACTGAAGGTCTAAAATTGGAAATTTTAGTATAGATTGTATATTTACATACTTATCCTATCTCACACTTTGCATTTCTCCCTTCCTCTTCAATCCTATGTGAGAACGTGCTTAAATCATGTTTCCAGCTTCTGAAAATAAAAATAGCCACCCAAGCCCCCCTGCATCTCCATGGTTACGTCCAAAAGTTAGGTCAATTACGTGCCTCTCATGAACTGACCACGTGTGCGCCTCTACCAATTCATTCTCTTTCGCAGAGCTTATTAGGCTAGAGTAAATGAGATGCGGGGATGTCGGGTGGGCCTATCGCTGGTAAGATAGGATAAGTATATAAATATACAATTTATACTAAAATATTCAAATATTTAAACTTATCCTATGTCACACTTTGCATTTTATCCCACGGTCGGATGGTGGGCGGCAGATACCCTAGCCTGTAAAGACTACAACTGTGAGATATGCACGAGGTAGCTGGGTCTAGACAGTGTAATTCTGAATTTGTTTTAGATTTTTGAAAACTGTCTAGCGTCTAAAAGACATGAACTCGTGAGCGGGAAAAACACACACGATCAACCGGTGTTTAACGATCCCGATACGTTACTCAAACGAAACTGCATGAGATCGGGTATACATGCCGTATGTCATCGTACATATAGAAAGACCGCGTAGCTGTAAATGCATAAGCAAAACAGCATACGACTTAAAATCGATCCTGGAAGAGCATCGATTCTTCAAACAAAACACAGCAACTATCTCCCAAGGACCATAGAGTGCGATAGGTTTGGTAACTCTTTTAACACTTCGTCATGGTTATTGAACACATTCGAGTATACGAAGCGAACCAAAACAGAAGGAACGATTGACAATATTCCATAGCGATGGACCTTCAAACCAAAACCCTACATCACATATACCTGAGGCAGAGGTGAGCGGAATAAAGGTCTACGAGCATGGTCCAATTGCTTGCAAAGATCTCGAGTCTTCCGCCTACGGCCGGGCTGTAACGGGAAGGGCTGGTGGCGGAAGTTCCCAGTCGTGCAGATTTGAAAAGGAGTCAAGTTCCTGCCGAACCTCACACTTGGGAAAGTTCACCGGCGCCCTTGGGTCCGGTAAAGAAGACCGATATCCAAGGATGGCTTCGAGCCTCGTTGACCTCTTTGGCCTCTGCCGCACCCTTGAAAGGGATTAGGCGGGGAAGAAATATGCTGATGTAAATCGCACCGGGCAAGAACGGTGAGGTGAGGTGAAATTGGGTTTAACGTCGCGTCCAAGATTATTGCACTTATAAAGCGATGTGCATGCACGTGTGTGTGTGTGTGTGGCTGCTTGTACTAGTCCGGACTGATGCCGATTTATAGTGCTAGCTCACTGAGATACCATGCCGCAGTTTAACATGAATACCCCACTCAGACACAGTATACTGACTCCGAGCCGACCAGTCCTTGTTTTAGCCCCTTAATGCCGAGCGCCAGACAGGGTAACACTGGGCAAGAACGAATTGGGGATATTGGCAATCCTTTTTCTGTTGATCCTCAAATTGTCTTTTCTGGAGACGTAGAAGGTCCACCGTGACCTGAAGGCTAGAATCTCTCAGCACGTCCTGTGCAACCTGTTGTATCGCTTCAGCAAATAAAAAGCGGGAAGACCAGGGTTGCTGATACAGTTTGGCCTTAAATTGGTCATCCCAGGAAGAATGTTGCAGCACACCATGGCGACAAAGAGCCGTCATGGAGCCGTCATGGTGAGTGAGGAGGTCCCGGGAGCGGGAATGATGACAATCATGGTGCAAGCATTCGATATTAGCCGAGGAGCGAACATGGTAACTCGATCGAGAATGCCGAACGAGATATCCGATCCTGCGAGCAAGAGCACCGATCCTGGGAGCAGGGGTGCCAATCTGTCGTCTTGGAGGAAGTGTGACGATCTAAAATGACCTGAGATGAAGTCGTATCGACGGCAATATCTCTAGCCCTGGCGGGGCAGAGAGAGCCGAATCCAAGACTGGGATTTTAAATGGACTGGAGCAATCGGTCGCTGGTATGAGAGCGGGACCCTGGTTGGTCAGGCAGACCGAGCACACATCGACCTGCGTATCTTCTTGTGGAGTGGTAGACAGGTCGTGAGTCAACAAATCGTCTGTAAGGAAGCTATCAGAGAGGGTCTTGTCTGTGACATAAACTACAGGCTCAACAGGATTGTCTTTAAGGTGTGATGAGCTGGTACTAGCTTTGGAATCCCCCCCTTTTGAACGACAATATGACGACAACGTTGCAGGTAAACTTAAAAAGCCAAGTTAGTTAGGGAATGACATTCCGCACATGGAACCCAGGGTGCACTGTCCCCGACAGTCGCAACATAATGAGTGGGGATCCGACATGGAATAGGTACGTCTGCATTCTTTACAAGCAGGACGTTGTTTGTCCTTTTTCCCATACTCGACAACAAGGACAAACAATTCTGTGATGTTCAAACACGTCTCCACACAGTGGCAGTGAGAAAGAGAATGAATTGGTAGAGGCGCACACAGTCAGTTCAAGCAGGCACTGCATACACGAGAGGCCGTAATTGACGTAGCTTTTGGACGTAACCATGGAGATGCAGGGGGGCTTCGGTGGCTATTTTTATTTTCAGAAGCTGGAAACATGATTCAAGCACCTTCCCACATAGGATCGAAGAAGAAGGGAGAAATGCAAAGTGTGAGATAGGATAAGTTTAAAAAATTATCCAATTTGAAGAGCTCCGCTGAGACATGTCCTTGCTGTATCGTGACAGGCAGTTATGTGAGGAAGGTGACATGTCATCAAGGTCACATGACTGCGGCAATGGTCCAGGCAAAAAGCAGGAGTGGAATGCGAAACATCTTTCTTTTTTCACCCGTGCGCTAACTTTGTGTTGTCGTAAGGTAAGCAGTGAATGCCATAAGGAGTAATGCAGGATAAGTAAAACATTATGACTTTTAACGAGTCAAACTATGGCACTTATGATATATGCACTTGTTCTCAGTCAACTAAGGATTGTTTTCAAAGCACCAATAGGTAACATGATCGTATTCTGTCGGTGCAATCTGTCAATAAGTTCACACACTATTTTACCAAATTAATATAAACAATATTGAATGAAAACTTGAATACAATTAATAAATTAGATTACAAACATAAGTCCAGATATACAATGAACATTTTTTATAACCAGACGGTGTAATTAAAGGATCAACTTGCGAACTGATGTACTGATTTTGTTTACATGGCATTCCAGTGTTACATGCTCAGATAATGTCTTTGTATTGAGAGAAGTGTGTATAATGCGCACACACACACACACACCCAAGACACAGAGCTGTAATGTTTGTAAAAAGTGAGCACTATACTCTGGCACATAGTGATAGTTTTGTTATTAAAGAGGGACCATGTTACAAGCAGGAGTTATTGTAAAACTATATTTTGGTGCCTATTAGTAGTAGCAGAAGAAAATATAAAGATGTGTGGCATTAATAACAAAATTATATGCCAGTCAAATGACTGACCTTCAATCTCAGCCATTCAAAAAATTTCAAACTGCACAGAATTATGGATTAATGAAATGATAGTCTTAATTATTCAAATCAGCAGTAAGTCATGATTAGTGAGAGTGGGGGCATACTGTTTGCATGGTGAGCAATATATTTTCACTTTTATATAGTCTTTCAGCAACCTTTTGCCACTGTATACATACTTCTAAGTACAGGAAATAACTTTACTTATGGAGAATTATTTTGTGTAATGGACTGTATTTCTCAGAAGGGGTTTTGCATACACCATCCCAACTCATCATGCTCACACAGTTTGCAGATAATGTTTGCTTTAACCTAGGGCCCTACTCCGGTGTACTTGTGCAGTGAGTCCAGCATGTAGATATGGTGTAGATAGTATACAGCTGTAGGAACCCAGCCGACACCCACACAATAGGACCACTCCACTTACCCGCCACACTTGAGACCAAGGGCCATCAGAGCAGATTTGAGTCGATCCAATCCCAGAGATGCCAGTTCCTGCAACAAACAAGCCACTGTTGAATCTTGGGAGCTGCGATGTTCTTCTGACTCTCCTGAGAGAAGTGGAGCTCATCAAACTGCTGAAACTACATGACGGTACTGCCATAACAATTATATCCTTGCTACACTGGTGTCTGTGTCCTGTGCGAAAGTGAGATTACAGTGAATCTAAATGTTTACACAAGTCTGTTGCCTGTATCTACAATGTTTACACAAATCTGTTGCCTGTATCTAGTGGTTTACACAAATCTGTTGCCTGTATCTACAATGTTTACACAAATCTGTATCCTGAATCTAAATATTTAAACAAGTCTGTTGCCTGTATCTGCAATGTTTACACAAATCAGTTGCCTGTATCTACAATGTTTACACAAATCTGTTGCCTGTATCTACAATGTTTACACAAATCTGTTGCCTGTATCTACAATGTTTACACAAATCTGTTGCCAGTATCTACAATGTTTACACAAGTCTGTTGCCTGTATCTAGTTGTTTACACAAATCTTTTGCCTGTTTCTACAATGTTTACACAAATCTTTTGCCTGTTTCTACAATGTTTACACAAATCTGTTGCCTGTATCTAGTTGTTTACACAAATCTGTTGCCTGTATCTACAATGTTTACACAAGTCTGTTGCCTGTATCTACAATGTTTACACAAGTCTGTTGCCTGTATCTACAATGTTTACACAAATCTGTTGCCTGTATCTACAATGTTTACACAAATCTGTTGCCTGTATCTACAATGTTTACACAAGTCTGTTGCCTGTATCTACAATGTTTACACAAATCTGTTGCCTGTATCTACAATGTTTACACAAGTCTGTTGCCTGTATCTACAATGTTTACACAAATCTGTTGCCTGTATCTAGTTGTTTACACAAATCTGTTGCCTGTATCTACAATGTTTACACAAGTCTGTTGCCTGTATCTACATTGTTTACACAAGTCTGTTGCCTGTATCTACAATTTTTACACAAATCTGTTGCCTGTATCTACAATGTTTACACAAATCTGTTGCCTGTATCTACAATGTTTACACAAGTCTGTTGCCTGTATCTACAATGTTTACACAAATCTGTTGCCTGTATCTAGTTGTTTACACAAATCTGTTGCCTGTATCTACAATGTTTACGCAAGACATAAATGCCATCCTTACACACCTTGATAAAACTCATAATCCACTCTTACTGTTAGTAATTAAACTATTTATGGATAGTTAACTTTGAAGAGGAGTTCTGTTGAAAATTTATGACAGCCAAAATACAAGATTCTTGGAACTGAGGTTTTTGTATTCGCAAAAATTAGGTATATTTGACAACAATTGAAAACATAAAAGTCTGACAAATGTCCAAGTTCTCATTTGTTGCAACCTTCTCCCCACCTGACATTTGATGTTATTTAGGGAATACCATATACATTCAATACACAAGCATATTGACAAGACAGCTTACCACAGGTAATGTCAAAGTGAATGTCAAAAGTAATTATCAGGGAGCATCAATCATATGATAAATGGGTTCTTTGTCTACAAACTACAGATTTTCAGTGTGGAACCTGAGCGACGGAACTCTTTACCTGTTGATGATGAACCAGAAGGCACTGTCATCAATATCCCACACCATTTTAAACAAGTGAATAAAATCACACAAATATTTTACACAACTTATTATATCCAAAAGGGTAAACCCTGAAATTCTAACACTATGAATGAACCAAATGATGCCATAACAATAAATACTAGCCACATAAAGAAACTGTGCACGGAGAAAATATAGATATTAGGGCACACCGTCCACATATGAAATATAGGTTTGAACACAGCAATTATTGGAGACATTCAAACGCTCATGCACGTGCCATGCGATATGACGTCATTGATGGGGGCCTATGGACGTGCAATGTGTTATTGCACGTGCATCCTGTGCAGCTGTACACAGCATGTGCAACTCAAAATTCGCTGTCACTTTGGAAAGCATGATCTGTGGTCATTCAAAAATTCAAAACTTCTCAGGCGCAGACACAAGCATATCACAAGCAAATCATGCCAAGATTGACAGCTGCACAGCGTCATGAAGCCATTGGAATGATCCGAGCGGGAATGAGGCAACAACAGGTGGCAACACATTTCCAATGCCATCATAACACGATATCGGCATTGGTGAGGCGTTATCAGAACACAAATGACGTTGCCGACCACCCACGTTCAGGACGTCCCTGAGTAGCGACGCCAAGACAGGAGAGATGGATTCAAGTTACACATCTCCGACACAGGTTCCAAACGGCAGTAACGACGTCCCAGACAATTCCTGGACTGCGCCGTATCCATCCCAACACTGTCAGGAATCGTTTAAGCCAGTACGGGATTCGACCACGACGCCCTGCCATACGTCCCATCCTGACACACCGTCATCGCGTCAACCATCTAAGATGGTGTCGAAATCATGTTCGCCAACCTCGAATATGGTGGAGAAATGTTGTCTTTACAGATGAATCGAGGTTCAACATTTCCCACAGTGACGGGCACCAACGTGTCTACAGGCGTTTGGGAGAACGTTACGCACGCAACTGTATTATGGAGAGGAATCGTTTTGGAGGTGGCTCTGTGATGATTTGGGGTGGGATAACAGCACGCCACCGAACCCCTTTGGTGGATTTTCAGGGCAATCTCACCGGTGTTGGCTACAGAGATCAGATTCTGAGGCCTGTGGTCATTCATTTCCTGCCACGTCATGGCCCGGGATTGACATTTCAACAGGACAACGCTCGTCCTCACACGACTAGGGTCGCAATGGATTTCCTTCACCATAACAATGTCATGTTACTGCCATGGACTGCAAATAAAACAATTGTTGAAGTGAGCTATAATACTGTGCATATTCTTAAAGAAACACTCCAGCATAAGCAATGTCCCACTCAGTCAAGTTACGATGTAACTCAATGACCACCCGACTCATTCAGTCACCTCTCAAAACAAGGCCAAGGTTGTTGGGGACCTACTGCAATCCCAAAAGGTTGTATGATGTATGATGTGCTAAAGCAAATTCATCAGGAAATAATAAAAGATTTAGGAACCGCAAAAAAATGAGGCTTTATCCTCATTTGAAGCTAAGTCAAACTTGTACTAGAAATGCACAAAATATGAAAAAGAATTCCATAATATTAAAAGGCACCAGTTCAGACCATGCCCAACATTCAGGCAGTGGATAATTAATTGAGTACATTTGACATAAATCTGGATTAGTCAGTGTCAAGGTTTGACAGATTAAACTGAAGTTTTCTGTTTTGTGAATCTGTGAACACCATGAATACTTTGCTGACACCAACCTAACTACATACGGTTTGTACAACCACTCCTTCCAGGCATAGCTCACCTCCCATGATGAAAACGCTGACAGGTCAAGATGTGCTCCCGAATGGGTCAGGGCTCCTGTTGCTTCTTTCTGAAAAACAAAGACATCATCCATACCAATGATAACAAGCATGAAATACTCATATCCCCTGCCAATATGACATGTCCGGTTGTGTGCAATGCATTAGCTCCTGTGGACTATGTTCACTGGGCCTTTTTGTAAATGGCCTAATTTGCAGCACTAAAAAAAAGTTATTACTGGTGTTGCTTCTCATCTGCAGTTTATGATAGAATATGTAACTGTATTTGGAATGAGTAAGGATGAGACAAATGGACAAACAACTTCTTTATTAGAAATAGGATCGATGATTTCGGTGTAGGTTCTAACACGGTTATAAAGCAAGTGAAGTACAGAGTATGGTTCACAAGAATATATACAGAATAGGAGGCAGTGTTTATACAGTTGAGTATGTTTAAGATCAGTTACGCTGTTGTATTTGTAATGAGTTGTGTTTCTGCATGAAGTTAGCCAGTGAATGCAACAACCGTGTCCATGACACTTTTGGAGGAACATACACACAAGCAATGCAGAACTTACCAACAAGAATGGAAATGTATTCAATACTGCGAGATGACATTATGTGCCAAGTTTGGTGGAGAAATATGGTACGGTTTTCAAGATCTGCTCCGGAAACGAGGACTACCACCATTTTCAGTCTAAATCAAAGTCATTGCCATGGAAACTCGAAAAACTTTTTTTTTAAATCCAAAACTATCAAAAGGCACCAGTTCACCACTAGACCTATCTATGTACCAAGTTTGGTGAAGAAATATGGTACGTTTTTCAAGATCTCCTCCGGAAATGAGGACTACCGCAATTTTCAGTCTAAATCACAGTCGTTGCTATGGAAACTCACACATTCCTATATCCCCCTTTCACTTCATGGCGGGGGATAATAATTCTGATCATAAACACAACATTTGAACCCTGTCAATGCCAAAGGGACTCAAGTCCCTCCTCCTCACTTTGAAGTTGCCTAATTATCTGTACTGTGATATCATCCACAAAGTATAATTACTGAAAACAACATCTGCAAAATTAGATTGATCATAAATATCGCTACTTTTGACATTTTACTAAATCACTATTCACAGCATTATTTTCTTGTATGTTTTGATATTGGTAAAATATAAGTATATTTGACATTTGAATACTCATCCTGCATTACTCCTTAATGCATTTACTGCTGGTTATATGTACATAAAGACGTAGCTGTGAGAGGTTCAGCTGCAGAAGAAGTTCTTCCAACCAGTTGTGTGGCAAAATACCCTCACACAGGTGCCACGTGACCTTGAAGTGGAGAAGTCTTGTATGAGCACATTACTGCTTGAACATAACATCTGAAGACATCATGGGGAGGTAGCACTGCGATGGGAGGGTAGTAAGACGAAGTATTGCAGAGTAAGTATACAAATGTAAAAAATATTTAGATTTTTCTACATTTTTTAACTTATCCTGCATTACTCCTTCATGCATCTTTATCAGACGGTAGAAGGGAAGCATACCTTCAGAAGTGATCCTCAAGAGACCCTCTTCAAAATGTCCAAGGTACCATCAAAGCATCCTTCGCGATGACCAGAACCGTGTGACCATTCTTGTCAGAAAAAAATGAGAGTGCGAGGGATGCAGGATGTCCAGGTAACAGTACAGTAATAGAAAAAAACATGTGCCAAGGTCTAAAACTGACGTACCGAGCTAATTTCAGTTGGACATAAACCCTCTAGTCAGGGGTGACAAGCATCAGAGAGGTCAAAAGGTCAGCTCTGGGCATCAGGAAGAGTCAATGGGGCTTGGTGACCTGCTGGGCAATAACCATATTGCCAATATGAGCACCTCCAAATTGAGGCTGTTGATGTGCCAAGTGAGGCCCTGAGGTCGTCTCGTCCCAACCCTGTAGAGAAGCTTCTACAAACCGAATGGATGTCAGGGATAACTGTTAAGGAGACAACTCCTAAGATGTTTGAGTCTTCCGCCCACCAACTGAGACAACTCCTGAGGTGAGGCGGTAGAGCAACGGATAGGCAAGGGTCCTGACATTGTATGTAAGGCGCCAGGAACTGTTTGATAGGAACCAGGTATAATTGACCTCTGCTCGTCAAATCCTGGACTGACATGAGCAATCCCATGAGCTCAAGTCAGTGATCACTGACAAAGTGTAATTCGCTGTTAGGTCATACTGTCTTCTGTCGACCCTCAATTATACCATGGGCCGTAGGCCCACACAAGTACTGAATAAAGAATAATACAAAGTGTAAGCTGGCTGTTGAAGAGCGGGTATCAGATTTAGATTAGACTGTCTACAAGACTGTAAAGTTGAAAAGTCAACTTCAGGGGGGTTTCTGATTGTGTTGGGCGTTGATGATACAGGGTTTTACACGATGCTCAAATGTGCATCCAGTATGCACAATTGTAGAGAATGGACGCATTGCGCCCACAGCCCATCAAGGGCAGTTATGGGGGTCTGTTATTTCATCCATCAGTCATGACCACTGTCCACATCATAATTAATTCATTCCAGACTCTAAAAGAAATGATCTCAACGTACAGTACACTACACTAGTGCCTCGTTTACTCCACGTGTTGTCATCGGAGGTTGACGAAAAGGTCATGTGAAAAATCATAAAATTGAAGCCATATCTAGAAGATAAGGCTGAATACATAATTCTTTGGTCTGAAAGATTGTACCTTATGAAGTAAGGAGACTGTTTCCATCCCCTTGGCGCCGTATAAGCACTCCCGTTCTGATATCAAGGTGACGCTGAAGCGCTATGTCTCAAGCAGAATCTCAAGTGCGCTGGCGCCAGCGCAGAAAGCGTTGACATCACACCGAGATGTTGTCAAACAGGGGTCAGTACAGTCCAAACACAATAGGTGGGAATCCCTGCTAGACTTGTTACCGTGACAAGTAATACAACAAGGCATAAATATGTAATTTAAGGAAAAGTCGTATTCATAACGTGCGCAACAGAACAATGAAACAACAGGGAATTTATAACTTAAAAACTCATTGGGTTCAATGAGTAAATTATGCAAAAAAAGTGACAACAAAAAATTAAAGCATGCAAGAGAACAGGCAATATACATGAAAAATTCAAGACGCAGGGCACAAGAATGTGACCATGAGGAGAATTCAAAATGGCTAATTGGAACAACAATACACCTGATATTATGATTAAGAGCTACTATCGAGGGCCGAATATTAATGCAATGAAAAGGTGAGACATGAAGTCACCAACCACAAGCAATATACAATCACAAGTAAAACGTAGAAATAGAAATAACAGCACAGGGTGCTAGTAAATTCTGGAATCGTTATTCTCAAACACGCCTAGTCAGTTTGAATGACAAGCAGTAATGTGCTCATACAAGAACTGACTGACCAAACCGAGCACGCTCGCTTGAGTGTTTGTCGAGTTGGTAATGTTTGATGAACGTGCTCGGCTGGCCCCAAATAGCCGCTGAGCATATCTCAATGGGCAGAGCGGCGGCGTACGCTTGTGACGTAGCCACTGCTATAACCGAATGAGCCTTCAACCTGGTAGGGGGGGGTCCCTGCCTTTAAGCGTATACGCTCTGCAAATGGTTGAAACTATTCACCTTGAGATAGATTGTTTGCTCGCAGGGGAGCCAGCCTTCCTACCGCCGTAACAGCAAAATAGTTGGTTATCCTTACGGATACCCTTAGTTCTGCCTATATAGGCCTTGAGGCAAGACATGGGCATGTCTTACAGTGGTCCCCGACGAGGAAGGCTGTGAAAGAGCAGGTAGCTCAATAGGAGCCGTCACGTGGAAGGCGTGTGCAACCTTAGGACGGAAAGAGTCCGGCAGCCGAATACTGACTCTGTCCTGGTGGAAGACAGTTAGTTCGGGACTCCGCAAAGCCAGTATTGTGTCTGCAACTCGTGCAGGTATACCGCTCTTCTGGAGGCAATTCCTGACAGTGGCCAAGCCACCCACTGAATCCTGGGATTCAGGTGGAGGGCCCCGTTCTGGGATAGGAGGTCCGGTCGTAAAGGTAATAGAACAGGAGGCTGAGCCAGAAACCTGAGTATTACGGGAAACCAACTCTGCGCCGACCAAAGAGGTGCCAGGAGCACAAGTAGTCGCGCAGGCTGAGTGGCTAGCTGAGATAGGACCTTGGAAATCAGAGGGACTGGCGGGAATGCCCACAGAACTCTGTCCGTCCAATCTAGCTGGAAGGCGTCCGGCGCCACTGACCTCGGGTCGGGGACTCGGGAGCAGAACGTTGGTGTCTGGTGATTCACCCCAGACGCAAACAGATCCACCTGGAACGACCTGTATAACCTGGAGATAATCCCGAATATCCCCGGGTCGAGCCTCCACTCGTGAGGAGCGAGGATCCGGCGAGACAGAGCGTCCGCACGGACGTTGTCCACCCCCAGCAGATAAACAGGTATCACCCTGATATGGTGAGTGTCGCACCATAGGAGGAACTGCCACGTCTCTTGGAGAAGCGACGGAGACACCGTTCCCCCCTGCTTCCGGATGTAAGTCATTGCCGTTTGGTTGTCCATCTCTAGACGAACCACTTGGCCACGAAGCAGATCCAGGAAGCGTTGGAACACCAACCGGACCACTCTCAGTTCTAGCACATTGATGTGCAGTTTGATCCCCTGCTGGGACCATAGTCCTGAGGCAGTGTGATTGTTCAGAACGCCTCCCCAGCCGGAGAGTGACGCGTCTGTTTGAACTGTTGTGAGACGGAACGGGGTTGTCGAGGGGGAGCCCCCGGGACAGATTCCCGACCTCGGTCAACCACTGAAGGTGTGTAATGAGCCACTGCGGAGTCTCAAGAACAGTCTCGAGATCTTCCGAGTTCACCCAAAGTCGACCGAGCGCTTGTTGAATGGGTCTCATTCTCAAGCGCGCCCGCCAAACCACATCCACCTTCGCCGCCATGTTGCCCAGTAACTGGAGCCATGTACGAGCAGTCTGTCTTGTGGACAGAAGGAATGGGAAGTAACACTTCTGACCTTGACTATGCGATCTTGTGATAGAGATACAAGTCC